TACTAACTCGCGATACCCATTTAACTCTCCCGCGGAATCAGCGGAACACCGATTGGGAACCACTGGCCTAACCTAAGACATCTGTCTAGATGTCTTATCCTTTTTGTTGAAAATATTTTATACCACAAAAAGCGCTAAATTTAAATTTTGTGATGCCATTTAAGCTGTTAGAATTTTCATTCTAAAATTACGGTAAAATAATCGGCAGCAGCCTGTCTAACCAATTAACCGTCAAGTTTACGGTGAAGAACCTTTTACCTTTACAGTTTTGAAACCGTAACTAGCATACATGGTTAAAAAAACATGAATACAAAGCTACGAGGGTTGCTATTTATATTTCTGGCCTTGGCAACAGTGAGTGTTGCTAGGCGACCGCAGACGATTTTAATCGAAAGTTTGATATTTTTAAACATAAATTCAGCAGACGATTTACCATTATAGCTTCATTTGTGTTGTTGACAGTGAATTGAAAAGTTCTTCTCTTTCAAAAAATGGAATTGAATCGTGAACATTTTCGTGCCATTATTTTTCATAACTTTCGACGTAGATTATCAAGACAAGATTGCTTCGATGAACTTAATTCTTTATTCAGCGATAAAGCGCCATCCTACAGCACTGTAAAAAATTGGTATAACGAATTTAATCGTGGTCGATGTTCGATCCAGGACGAATCCCGTACAGGTCATCCAAAATCCGTTGTTGTGCCAGAAAAGATCGATGCTGTGCTTGAACTGATAAAGCAAGATCGTCATGTGACGTACCGTGAAATAGAGGCGTCTTTGGACATTAGTATGACTAGCATCAATAAAATATTGCATGAACATTTGAGCGTATGAAAAATTTGTTCGCGTTGGATCCCGCATAATCTGACAAACGCTCAAAAAAAGGCTCGTGTCGATTGGTGCAAGGAAATGTTGGAAAAATACGTTCAAGGTACATCAAAGGCTGTGTATAACATCTACACAGGTGACGAATCATGGATCTATGCATATGAGCCGGAAACAAAACAGCAATCAACTGTATGGGTCTTCCAAGACGAGGCAAAACCAACAAAAGTTGTTCGAGGAAGAAGCACATCGAAACAAATGATTGCCTGTTTCTTCGGCATTAACGGTCATGTGGCAACAGTGGCGTTAGAGCAACGCAGGACGGTCAATTCTGAATGGTACACGACCATTTGTTTGCCAGAAGTCATCGGAGAAATTCGAAAAAAGCAGAAGAACAGGCGAATCATTCTTCATCATGACAATGCGAGCTCTCACACATCGACTCAAACAAAGGCATTTCTGACGGAGCGAAAGATCGAACTGATGGGTCATCCGCCGTACAGCCCTGATTTGGCACCCAATGACTTCTTCTTATTCCCACACATCAAAAATAAATTACGTGGACAACGATTTTCGACCCCCGAAGAAGCGGTTGATGCATTCAAAACGCATGTTATGGAGTTACCTCAAACGGACTGGAAAAAAAGTGCTTTGAAAATTGGTTCAAACGCATGCAAAAGTGTATTGATCATCATGGAGAATATTTTGAAAAACAATAAAACCAATTTCGATCCTACATATTTGTTTTTTCATTATTAGGTCAGAAATATAAATAGCAACCCTCGTATATGATATTTTAACCACTTACTCAAAACATTTTCTAAACTGTAAAAAAGAATTTTAATTGGACATTGAAGCTAGGCTTTTGGTTAGGTCACTGGAGTTAGATTGTGGTTGAATAATGCTTTATCAAATAAACCGTGGAATGTGGTTAAGTAATTTAAGTACCAATTAACCGTAAAGTTTACGGTAAAGAACTTTTTACCTCTATGGTTTTGAAACCGTAACTAGCATACATGGTTATAAAAAAAACATGAATACAAAGCTACATGGTATTTTAACCACTTACGCAAAACATTTTCTAAGCAGTAAAAAAGAATTTTAATTGGACATTGAAGCTAGGCTTTTCATTAGGTCACTGGAGTTAGGTTGTGGTTGAGTAGTGCTTTATCAAATAAATCATGAAATGTGGTTTAAGTAATTTATCTGGTTGTTTCGACTATTTTATAAGACTAATATTAAACTTTTTTGTATTTTTTGTAGTGCTGTCATCTAGATAATAAGAGTTTCGTATTCTAATAGTCCGGGGTCATAAATTAGGGAGCTCAGGAAACCAGACTCTTCATGCGTTGAAGATAATAGGAGAAATATTGTGGTGTCAACGCTGGGACTCAAACCACGTTCTGTGGGTCATGATATTGACAAATTAGCCCTCTGGGCCATAATATGTACCCAACAGCAAGAAACTAAGTAGCTTCATTAGTTGGGCCTAATTGGTGCAATAAAAGTCTGGTTGTTTAACCATATTAGGTGAAAGCAGACAATAAGCTGTTTTCCTTACTGTTAATAGTTTGAATGCCATCTTACTTGTGGTTATTTAACTGTTTTGTTTGAATATAGTAAAATAACAATTAAGTAAATTGTTATTTAGCCATTTTTTCCGAAAAATTTTCACAAATTCTCAAAGTAATGAGTTAAATGCGTATAATGAAGCGAAATACCTTGAATTTTTAATTATATATAGACATAGTTGGTAAACTGAAATTTTTTAACTTTTAAATTACTCTAGAAAACAATTTTTTCTTCGATTTTTTTTTTCTTTGCATGAGATTTTTTATCTTAAATATTTTCGCTTCGTTTATTTCAAATTTGCAATAGGTTTCTCTCTTCGAACAACAATTTCTTTTAAAAATAACGTTTTTAGTTGATTTTTTTGTCAAAATATACAATTTTAAATCGGTATGTTTAACAAGGGTCGCATATATGTTGCAACAAATTTCTAGGGCACATCACTAAGTTTAAAATGGAAAAAGAAAATGCTGGAAAATATCACCATACACCCCTAGGGGCACTTTTCTATTTTGAACTATTTCTCCCCGTGCTTCTGAACAGGTCTTGATAGGAAAGCGTCTCTAGCCCCGTATGACGGAATTCCTTATGCAATTTTAATTATAATAATGTGCCCTAACTCTTTTAGTAGTTTTTCGCAACACTTACCAGACCCCTTTTTATATATGGCGTTTTTAAACTTGCACATTGTATACCGAAAATAGACTAAAAATGTAATTAAAAAAACTGTGGTTTTTGGATCCCCACAACCGAATTAAGCAAGTTCAAGTATTTCTTTTTAATGCAACAAAAACTTTTGATTTTCAACTTTTGAATCAAGATCAAGTATTTTATTTTATTTTATAACCGTCGTTGAACAGCCAACCCACTTTTATGGGTTTGCGACTACTAATGTTCAACTCTGTAGCTTTGTAATTTTGAACCCAATCCAGAAGACAAGGGAACTCCTGGATCAAGTATTGAGAGACATTCGTCTTCGTGGAGGACTTCTTCGAAGGAAATAACCCGGATTTGTGTTGCATGGAGAGGAAGACCACGAGAACCTCCGACGGTCTTCCTTGACAGCAAGGGGACTCTTACCCATGATCCGTCTACCACTGAGGATATTTCACGTCAGCACTGTGGTCGGTGCAAGCCGGATGCGGAATTCGTATCGACTGGGATTCGAACCCGGTTCGTCGCATTGGAAGGCGAACGCTCTATCCCCTGAGCTATCGCTGTTCAAGGTCAAGTATTTGTTAGAAATCAGGACTTATAAATGTTTTTTTTTCTTTTCAGTTCCGGTAGTTTCGCCTTCACTATTTTGAAATTTGATAAAGTGGAGACAGTACCTATAATCTATAGCAAGTTTAATCACAGTTCTTACTACACAAGATTACAAATAATCATGACTACATGTAATCATATATTTTGATTACTTGTAATCATGATTACCTGTAATTGTTTTTGTTGTGATTACTTGTAATGGCAATAAATTGGAATCAGGATTAAAGTTGCAATCAAAATTTTGATTACTGCGGTAATCAAGATTATAAGTAATTGATTACTGTAATCAATATTGTAATCATGATTACAGCTGTAATAAAAAAATTTGAAAGTTTTAAACACGATTACAAGTAATTGATTACTGTAATCGACTATTGTAATTAAGATTACAGCTGTAATCAAAGTTGTAATCAGGATTACAAGTAATTGATTACTGTAATCAAAAAATGTAATCGATTACATTTTTGTTTGTAGATTTACGTTTGTAGATTTGAACGACACACAGTTTGTTATATTGAGCTATTTTAACATTAATTTTGGGTTCCTAAATCTCTAACAGGGTGTGTAGTCAAATCTTTCAACAAAAAATAAGCACCTTCTAAGTACTTTTTAAGCACTCAAAAATAAAATTTTAAGCACTATATACATTAACAAAATGCAAACTAATTTCGAAGACTTTACATAATCATGATAAAATAACTAGTTTCTGACAAGAACTCTTTTCTTGATTATTTTAGCCATTCAAATGCTCAAGAGATTTCTCGTTTCGATATCAGAGGGTGGTAAATGAAGCCTGAAATAGAGAATATCTTGAAAAATGCAGCAGAGTTGCACACGGGAGTGCAATAATCAAATCTCTCCGAGTCCAGCTCAGGAGACACACATGCGAACTCCCAAGTATTTCATCAAGCATATAAAATGATTGGCGCTTTCATACACTATGAACTGACGGTATGTAAAAATAGATTGTGGTTAAATGAATTGGGAAAAGGTTGAATAGAACAATGTGAAAAGCAGGCTTTTGCATAATAAGTGGCGAAAATTGACATGATAAAGAAAAAAATCTCATTTTCGAAAAGGGAAAATGAAGCACTTTTTAAAAACGCCCAATGAAAAAAGCCCTTTAAGGGCTTTTAAAAGACGAAAATTGAAAAAAAAACACCTTTAAGCACTTTTTAAAAACGATAAGCACCATGTCTAAAAAATAGGAAGAGTTATTAGCAGTCATTCTTGATGTAGTTTTAAAAGAACAGTTAATACACTTGACAACTTTACTCAAAATACATTTTACGACTTATGCTCGTTTATTTAATAATTCAATTTTCAAATAATAAACACTTTAAAGGTGTATAAAATGTATTTATTTCTAAAATATATTTACACTCATACATAAATCACAGATCTGCATACTGAAGTATCACAATTTTTCTTTTTTTTTTTTAACATGCTGGATAATTAACATTAACGTCTGGATTTAACTTGAAATCAACTTTAACAATTATTTATCATTAAAAACCGAAATATATAACAAAAATGTATATTTTAAAAATTTAACATCAATACCCTGTATTTCGGAAAAAAGGCATTTCAAATAAATACAAACATTTCTATATTTAAAAAGTGTTCTCTAAACAATACTTAGCATGTGTTTTTAGAATTCTTACACCAAAATAAAATCATGAGTATTGTTGCAAATAATTGAGGATAAAAAACAGAAAACATCAATATCTGACAATATGTCCTTCATTTTGCTTTTTTTACCATACAAAGACTTGCCGCCCAATATGAAAAAGTATCTCCAAGAGTGGTGAGTGTTTTAAATCTATATACTCACTGGCTACAAAAGTCATAGTAAATTCATCAATTGTCAACAGAAAGCAAATTTTTATAATTCTGAATTTTAAAATTATTTAGAGAGTCAAGCGGTAGAAGGTTCTAAGTGATATTTCAGTAAATTAACTTTTAGGTTTATTAATTTGTATTTCTTGTACATTTGTCAGGATATAGCACACAAAAAGAAATTGACCCTAACTTTTTTGAAGGGCCAGAACTTTAATTTATTTGTTAGAAAAAGTATTTGTCTTTATTTACAAAATGTCTCTCCTTGAATAGAAGGTATTAAGTGCATTTCTGATGTATGTAGTAGGTAAAAAAGAAACTGAATATGAAATTAAAGCAAAATTAAAGCAAAATTAAAGCATCGCATAAAACAACCATTTTTTTTTCACAGTAATGAAGTATCATCTTAGTGTCAAAATGCAGAAACTGTTCTCTGCTTTTCAATACTTGAAGGTGATTCATTATATGGAAAGGAAACACTAATATGTCTGGTATGTGATGTTATTCAAGCTTTTTCACATTGTTTGACTCTTATTTACACACAGTACAAAGTTAAGCTTTCTTTATTTAAAAATAAAAAATTTGTAGAAAATTTATAAATTATCCATATTTCACACTATAATTTTATTGAATTCAAATGTTTGTCATAATTTTTAGAATTTTGAATAAAAATATAATTTTTTTTTTAACAAATACAAATTTTTTGTCTGACTACTCTTTGAAATATACCGTAAAAATTGTCTTGTCAGTGATTAACTACAGTTGTAATATCATCAGTCTTAGCACTTTCAATATTGTTTCTATCCAATGTTTATATTTAAATTTTATTTTTATTTTTTTGGTCTCTTCGATAATTGAAAGTTTTGACTGAAATAATTATCCTCCAATTAAATTATTAAATTAAAAAAATGCTAATTAAAAATAATTTTTTAAATTATTAATGATTTATATTGTCACATTACTTGCTGACTTAATAGACAACACAGATTTATAGAGACATATTAATGTGAAATTAGATGAAAGGAAAGTTACGCTTAAATATATTTTCCCTTTTCTCCCAAGGAATTCAAATTTTCATTCAAAGTTTTAATCATTCTATTAATTCTATTTTTTAAAAAAGAATCAGAATATGAGAAAGAAAAAGTTTCTTTTAGTTCTGGTCTAAACTCTTCAATTTGTGAAATCTATAACACTCAGTTAAACTGTTTAAAGCTTGGCATTAGCACTCTTGGTGCTTTCAAATATTGCTTAAAGAGAGGATTAAGGCTTTCTAATGTGAACAATGATACATTTTTGCCAAATCCATACAAAATTTTCAACTCAAACTGTGATAATACATTCATCCACAGAGACTCTTCAAAACAAATTAAAGTTGTATAATAAAACTAAACTAAAATCTTTCCCCCAAGAAATAATATTTTTTTTTTTTTACAGAAATGTCACCCAGACCATTTCTCCACTTGACTCCTTGTTTCTTAAATACTCATTTACAAATTACTTTTCAAAATTATTAGATGTTTAATACTGACAAAGAATTCTAAAAATCTATGACGAAGGTGATATTTAGAGAACATACCCTACAATTGGAGATGGTAAATAGAATATAAAATAAGGAATACAATACTGAGATTCAATAAAGCAAAAGTATAAAATGTACAAATAAATTTAAATTCAAATGTTGCTTTAAGTTGGCTGCATTTTATAAGAAGCAGTAGTAAATAAGAAATCTGATAATTATTACTCAGAATATTTATGAAAATTCTGGTATGCTCGAAAACTAATATCTTTGGTTTAAAGAAATTAAATGGAAAGTGTAGGAAACCTATGCATATAGGCATTATTTATATTCAATAAATGACTAATATAAAACAAAATACTGTTACATATTTGTGATGAATACGAAAGTTAGAAATACTATAATTAGGAGTTGCAATTACAAGCGAATATTATGATTGATTTCATTTTTATAAAATTAAAAATTTCTAAAACGCAATTGATATTTTTTTAAGAAAAATTTTTTTTGCTGATATTAATTATTTTAAACAACTTTAATTAATACTATTAAGATAATTAATGTAAAGATGTTTTAAATTAGTAGTTCGAGAAAAAAGTATATTTTTAGAAGAAAACAGAATTGTACATTCTAATTCATCGGAAAGTTAGTATGAAATCTGCTTATGTGTAAATTATTCTAAACAAAGTATGGAACTAAATATTTGGTAGGCAAGTTGTTACAAACGACACTTTGTCTTACGACATTTTTAATAAACAAAATGGACACTCTAAAATTAATCTAGTTCCACAAAATTATAATGGACGGTAGCATTAGTAGAATTAGCTTTAAAAAAAACATATAATATATAATTCTTTTTTATATACAAATATGGAATGTACATTTCTAATGTAAATAAAATGCAACATTAATAGCAAAAAATGCAATAGGATACATTGCACAGTCAATTTGTATATAGAAGTCTCTAAAAACGTATCTCTTTCAGATTAAAATAATTTAAATAAAATTTAATTTACACTAATAAAGTATTATTTTGAATAAATGAAGTTAAAATATTAACTAAAAGATACATACAATTATCTTTTACTTCTCGAATTTAAAAGAAACAATTTTCTTTAAAATCGATTGAGAAAAGAATTAAGAAGTAGATTAGATCTCAATAAAGAATAACACTGAGAAAAACTCTAAAAGGGATAAAAATCATGTAACATAAATCTAAATAACAAATTCATTTAGTGGAATTTAAGATAATGAATTCTATCAATTTCTCTTTTCTACATTAGGCTAGGATTAGGGAATTTATACAATAGAACCTCCTTTATCTAAATACTTCTGATAATCAAAGTCCTTTATGAAGCTTCCTTTCTTTTCAATGAATAATTGGTTTAATGAATAAAAAGAGAAGAGCTACTTGAAACTTCTATACACAAGGCCTTCAAAATAAAATTTTTAAAAAAATATCTTTGCATTGCATGATTACATAAAATTGATTATTTTATTAGAATAACAACTAAACGTTTTATTAGTTTGTTAACTTAATTGTTTCGGTTTTGTTTAAGAAATCTGAAAATTGCAATACTTTTTTTTTTTACATATAACTGCCACATTTCATAACTAGAGTTATTTTGCTTGACTGTCTATTAAAATTATGCAAGTGAATTTTAAAATAAAATAGCTTTTTACTTATTTGACAAAAAGTTGTTTATCAAATTGTCAAATAAAAATTAAATATGTGCCATTATTATAAAAAAATAAAAACTTGATTTTCAGAATAAATTGATGAAAATAGGTTAAAAACAATATTACCTCTATAATCTGAGTACTCTCATAATCCGAAATAGATCTAGGTCCAATTACTTGGGCAATCGAGTTCCAGCCATTCTCAAAATAAAAACTCTATTTAGTGACAAGATGCATAGCACAAAAAAAGCATTAAGGCATTCATAAATGTAGGAAACAAATGAAAATTTCTAGTTCTCGTCTTAGCTGCACAAAAGCAACAAGCGTTTTGGAGAACAGAAAATAAATAGCAAACATAAATGCATAGAATACTGATAAAGTATAAGTATCACCACAGTCTTGGAAGAAAGAATGAGTAACTCTTCTCATACATTGGAGGCATGACGGTCCTCTTGAAACCTCTGTCTCTTGACCGATACTTTGCCAATGTCCGTATTGTCCTCGCATTCTGAGTGTGTTTCTGATGGAGGTTCAGACCTATCATGATGGCTGAACTGGTGAGAGCTCTGCACAAAAAGGCCACTGCTGATGTTTTCAATGGCTTTCCGCAGCTGAAAAATATTAAATTATTATACACTTCTCTCCAAATCATAATTGCTTTGTGAAAAGAAATATAATAAAGCAATATAATATTTTTGAAGAATAAAATAATAGAAAACGTTAACTATAAAATCATAGCATGAACTAGCATTTTGCTTAGTAAAGCTCTGTGGCTCTCAGATGATTTTGCAAAAAGTTGAAAACTAAACTAAACTAAACTCAGCGGCGTGACAGCACATAGAAGGCCCAGTTAGTTCCCAAGCATGCTTGGTACTTACTCATTTATCGACCCACTGAAGGGATGAAAGGCTGAGTCAACCTTGCCCGGCCCGGGGATCGAACACAGGACCTGTGGCACGGGAGCGCGAAGCGCTACCACTCAGCCACCGAGTTAGAGAAGATAAATATCTATCTATTAAACTATAGAACATTCTGTTTTTTTTTTAATTTATATTTTTATCTGCCAATTCTTAGATTTCATGCTTATATTTAAAGTGATAACATATGCATTTCTATTTCATTCTTTGATTAAAATTTTATTTATAATTGGAGTTTATATTAGAATTCGATTTTAAATGATGTTCACATAAATGTATGAATGGCTAGATTCTGTGTTTAAACTCCAGCAAAATATTCAAATATATTTGATAACAACTGAATTTTCAATGCACATAATATAGTGTTTTCCTGGTGTAGATCTTATCTTGTGATCTTGGTAAAATAGTGTGAACTTGGGAAAATCATTATTGCAAAGAAAGAACAAAAGTTGGCAGGCCTGAATTGATTGCAGTATGAAGACAACTCCTTGTCTTCTAGTCAAGAAAAATCAGACATTTGTAACACAGTTAAGGATTTTTTATATGCATGAATAAAAATATTTTTATTTATTTTCATCTAATAGAAAGATATATCAGACATGGATGCATATTTGTAATTTTTTTACAAATATATCAATTCAGACAAAAAGTTTATGAAAATTCCCAAAAAAGAAATAGAAAGTTTATTTTACGTTTCTCTCTAACTGAAATTTTTTTAAAACAAAGTATCACTACAGTCTGTCAGTTTTATGTTGGCATCTTCATTAATCTATAGTATGAACACAATCTACATTTCGCAAATCCATGGATTTTTAGGGCAGAATTCAGCTAAATTTTCGAAATTAATGTGGAAAAATGTTGCCAATCAAAAACCTGCATTTTTACTTATCGCAAAATGCGATATGTTTGCAAAAATACAGGCTTCTGATTGGCTTAATTGAGGCATCGTAATTTTGAAAATTAAGCCGAATTCTGCCCTAATGTCAGCAAGGATATGAATTTTTCGCTGCTAGATAGTTAACACTTAATTTTTCGTGGCTACAAACTTAACAATCAGAAAACTGAATTCAGCATGACAGACATAGAATTGTCAGAAAATCAATAAAATGGACAGAACAATATTTTGTCTGACCATTGGAGGGAGTGGGGTAAAATTTATAGCTATTTTAGGTTTTAATCAATTTTCTTGTTACCTATTATTAGATGAAAATTTTAAATACCTCCACAATGTTCGGTTCTTCATTTCTGAAGCAGAGGGGGGGGGCCCAAAATAGTTTTGCCCCGGACCCCAGTTATTCTAAGTCGGGCCCTGCAGATCATCTTATTAAGCATGAAACAGGGTGAGTACCCAAATTTTTCAACAAAAAATAAGCACTTTTCAAGCACTCAAAAATATTTTTAAACACTTTAAAAAAATCATAATTAGCCAGGATTGGTAAGTTTTTGACAATTAATGGTTTTACTGGTTTCAACCATCATGTCAAAAAAACTTTTGTCATAGTTTTTGGCATTTGTCAAAAATCATGAATTTTTGAATCATGTAAAACGAATGGCGTTTTCATACGCTACGGACAGACAGTAAGCCGAAATAGATTGGAGTTGAATTAATTGTGAAAACTCTGAATAGAACAATGTGAAAAGTGTCTTTTTGCTTAATTTGTGGCAAAAATCACCATGGTAAAGGAAAAATATAATTTTGGAAAAGGGAAAGTTAAGCACTTTTTAAAAACACCCAATGAAAAAAGCAACTTTAAGGGCTTTTAAAAAACGAAATTCGAAAACAAGCACTATTTAAAAACACTACGCACCCTGTGAAAGATTAATTCAAAATTTCAAGCAAAAAATTTTCCATGATAAACTAATAAATTCATAAAATGAATGGTTAAGGAAAAGTCAAAAAAAAAAAAAAAAAAAACTAAATCAGATAATCAAAATCAAAAGTTAAGTTGATAGAGAACAAAAATATTTAAATTTGGCTTGAAAAGTAAAATGGAATTAATTTTACAGCATATAAACCCTACCTCTTTTAAGGCAACTACTCCTACTAATCTCCCAATAGCAGTCACATATGCATAATTAAGACCTAACATTGAAAATAAAGAATGAACCTAAAAAGAGAACAGTAATACATATTTAGAAATAAATATAAAAAAACATAAGACCAAAAAAAAAATTTCATATCAGAGCAATAAATATTAAACTGGTTTCACAAACCAGCCCACTGGTAGTTTTGACATTTTTCTTTTTAATACTTCTAATACTTCTAACTTTTATTATACAACTGTGGTTCAGGCTAATTAAACTCTCAAATCAGAAACTAAATTCCAGCTAAGTGGGTATTATGGTGCATAAAATATGAGACCTTTTCTAAGCACAAGACTATCTGTAGGTGGAAAATTGAGGGAGGTTTTCTATATGTGTGCACTATCATTTGGGAGAATAAAAAAAAGTATAATTTTTTACATGCAGATACACAGGTGGGTAAAAAAGATAATTACTATTTTTTAAACAAAAATATAATGTATCCTGATTAAAAATTAAATAAATCAAGCTTTATAATTTTCAAATGAGCTAAATTGTAAATTGAACAAACAAATTAAAATGTACCAATTAATAAAATAAAAAAGTGGCTTTTTTGACACTTAAAAAAACAATAGTCCTCAAAGTCAAATTACTCAACACTGATTTCTAAACTTGGTCCCATACAAACATTCCTATAGTTTAGAGGGGAAAAAATTCCCAGTTCAGTAAAATATTTGCAGAAAAATAAAATATCCCAAATTATTTTAAAAAAAAACTTTTGAAGATTAGTTGTGAAGATTTCGGACATAGCAATTGCAAATCTATAAATCTTCTAGAACATGAGCAGATTTACAATTAAAAACTAAAAATCTATTGTTTTTGATATCATGCATTTTATAAAATAAAAAGAAATATACTTTAATTAATGTTGTCCTTTCTACAAGTTGAAACGGAGCAGGATCTACATGGCATTTACCAAAGTCTACCAACGCATTTAGCTGATCTTCTTCCCATGCAAGAAGCTGAATTAAAAAAATATTTTGTAAAAATGACGGTACTTTTAAGAAACAAAATTAAATAAATTGGAAATAAATTTCATTTAATGAGACTTACCTCTTCAGGGGACATATCCAGTATTATCTGGGGCTGTAATAATTTTAAGCAATCGCAATTAGAATTTGAAACTAACTATTAGATGTATATAATAAATATATGATAGAATTAATGATAAAACAAAGTAAGATTTCAAACACTTAAGAACATGAGCAAGAACATACAGCTATGTAATGACAACTCAAATTAATAAAAAAAAATCACCTTTTGTGATCTTTTAGACAAAGGAGTGTTAGGAAGACTGGATTCAAACTAAAATTAAAAGAAATATTAAAAAATCTTGCAGTTCCCAAATAAAAATGAATCAAAAGCATAACAAAAGTGATTTAAAAACAATTTTGAAAACACTATCTTAAATAGGCGCTTTAAATAACTAAAACATTCCCCTTTTAAAAATAATAATTAAAAATAACAAAGAATACCTCTGCATCTCCTGAATTTATTCAAAAAATTCTAAACTAGGTAATGCTATTTTATTTAAGCTATATTTTAAAATGAACCAAACAAGAAGATGTTTTACAGAATTTTAAAATCCAATAAAAATAAATTGCTATTTTAAAATTTAGAAAAAGTTTTTTAAGCAGGAAAAAAATATTGCATTAATACCTTAACCCAGATTTAAGTAAATTACAAAATAAAACTTACAACTTGTATTGCCTGAAAATATGAAACCCAAATTTTAAATATATATTATAGGAAGCAAGTTAACAGGAACAAAAACTTCTATACACAATGAAAAAAATTTTTTTTTTAATATTTTAGAAAAGTTTTACTTTTTCAAATGGGTCTGAAACTGCTTTCTTGAAGACATTTTCAAATGCTTGTTTCAGTCTAGTATCTAAAATGCAAGTGAAATAATTATAATTTGCAGATTCAAAAATAAATAAATTATAAATACAAAAAAAGTTTTAGTTCGATTTCAAATCAATAATAAAAAAAAAACTAAGATAAGAAACTACATAATGTATAAAGTAAATGCTAAGATCATAATTTAACTTATTAATAAAAATATAAATTTATCAGTTGTACTAAAAGCAAGTTCAGTACTAAACATTTAATCCTAAGTAGCATTATTAATGAAGCCTTTACATAAACAAAAATGAAACTTCTTTTTTTCTCCTACAAGCAATAATAATGCTTTTAAAATAGTAATTCAAACAGTCAAAAAATAAAATGTGAGATTCAAAAGAAAAATATTTCGTAGGTGTAATTTTAAAATAATGCTGTTAATAGAAGGAGAGGATAAAAATATCGATATAGCAGTGTATTAACAAATTCAGAATATTTCAAACAAATAAGACAATGGGCATCATAAAAACCGTCCTGTGTTTCAATGGAGAAGAGAACATTTTAGCTTATTTTAAATTTTATAAAACAAAAGGACATTTTACACATACTAAAGGATAAACAAATGTTTTGCGAATGCCTATACATTAAATTAGTGTTTGTTTTCCCTTACATTCTTTAACCATTCTTTTCTGACTCAAATAATAAACCATTTTATTTATCTGAATGCATATCGTTAAATATTCCTTTCTGAAACAAATATTTATAAATGATTATCAGTTACAAAATAAACATGCAATGAATAATATATAACACTTATTAAAATGAAGATGCTGATATTCTAAACCAGGCAATAACAATGTTTTGTGCCAAAATTCTTAGACTTGCACTTTTTTGCAGAAAACATTTATTGTGGAATACTATATTATTTTTTTAAAAAATTTATCGTATTTATTAGTTTACATTTAAATAATTATGCTATTCATTAATTTCAAAAATATAAATATTGTCCGTAACTTAAAGGCAAATTGAGCTTTATAATGCTTACAACTATGAGGCAATAGTGATTATTAATTCAAAAGTTTTCTGAAATATGAATAAATATAATAAGATTATGCAAAACAAATTGGATAACATAAGATCTAATATGTTATCCAATTGATCAGAATATAAGATCTAAGAATTATATAAATATTTTTATAATTAAATACAGTGAAACTTCTATGAGAGACTACTGCTATAGAGAAATTACTGAGTCACCAACCACTTTTTTAAAACAACCAACTTTTTACTCTATCAACTTAATATAAAAATGTCCTTTAGAGCAGATTAAGAATCATTCTGTAAAAGGTTAACAGTTATAAAATTTTCTAGTTTTTTCCCTTTGGTGAAGTAAACAAAACTACATATTAGAAAGAACACCCAATATAAAAAGCCATTGCTCAAATCGAGCATGCTCTCTTAAAAATTGAACATTAAAATTACGGAACGAAAATTTTGAACATTTCATATCTTTCAGATATAAATACAAAAACTGAAGTCCATCTATTGACATTATACAGCAGGACTGCCTAGCAGAATTTCAAGCAAACAGATTTTATCATTGTAAATTGGGAAAACATAAAGGATACCAATATAAATGTTAGAAAACAAAAACAATTCAAAACAATTTCATATTTTAAGACCATTTGAATTTCAAAAAATATGTAAGTAGTAGAAATCATGAAGATGCAATATTCCCCAGTTAACAACACAAATTATGTTTTTAGTAATTTTAGTATGAATACTAAATAGTAATATGTATATATTTTTGTGTAAATTGTTTTAATAATCCAGCATTGACAAGTTTCAGAGGAAATCTATTTTAACAATTACAGCAAAAGCGCCACATCCAGAGATTATTGTTACCCACAAATAAGAGGTTTTTTGATACCTGTAATTATGAAGGTGCTTCTTTGAAAGAAGAAATACTTTAAATTCATTTTTTAGAAATAGAGTGCAACAATGATTTGGTTAATAACTGTTCTGTTGCATAACAGAAAGACTTTGTTCCCAAGAAGTTTCATAGTATTTTGAAAATGTAATTAAAAAAATCTTTCCAAACTTTATACAATTTTTACTGTTCACATAAATTCATAATATTAAATAAACAAATAAAATAAAAATTATAAAATTCCTTATAACAAAATAAGATATAGGTAAATATAAAAATGTTTTTGTTAATACAAGGCAAGGTATTTTGGAATGACTATGCATAATATTTTTTGAATTCTTCAACATACGAAGTAAAACACTATGCATTTAAGGATTCACAAATTCATACTTAAATGAGAAAGAACTAAAATGCTTTCAAACACTGGCAAATCACTATTGAGGGCGGGAAAAGTAAAAAAAAAAAACATTTGAAAACTATTATATTTTACATAGTGGACCTGGAATGCATTTAATTTTTTTTAAGAACCATCTTCAAGGCTTATCCTCAAATATACTGTCTTAATATTATTTTAATACCCATATCAACAGTACAACTGTACATAAAAAATACTCTTCAGATATGTGTCCTGAAAATTTCTGGTTGTAAATAATGAATCGGTAAATATATATATATATTTTTTTTACAATGCACCATTTTCCCAAAAAATCCCCCATTTAGGATTTTTATGTCTTTTAACAGCACATAGTAACAACTTAAAAGCGAAGGAAAGGTGCTTCCATTGACAGTGAGGCAAGCACCAACTAGGTAATCGTGGTGATTTTGGCCACAAAAGCCTTATCTACCTAACCAAATTTTCGAGGATATATGCATTAGAAAAATAATGCATAGATGCAATTAAAAGCAAGATATCATAGAATTCACAGTAAACTAGGTGACTTTTTTCCTACCAAAATGGTGGATCATTTTAGTTTTGATATATGAATCAAGAACATTTTTTGTTAATACATAATCTAATAGCTTCTGTGCTAACAAAAAAAATTAAGTGACAGAAACTAAGGGGCAGGAAAAACTTTCAAATCCGTTGTACAGTGTTATTTGTCTATGTTTAAAAACTTCTTTGTTCTTTTGTAACCCCTAGCATACATAGTCTTTTTACTTCATTTTTCACAAGAGTCTTTAAGGGCAGTCATTACTTAACACCCTGAATTTCCACATGCATTTTGAATAAAAAGGATAAAGAAATTTTCTATGAGTAAAAAGTATAACTACTGTAGAAGAAAAGGAAACTTACCGAGTGAAGAGATTGTGTTATACGGGGAATTAACAGGTGAATATCTTAGAAAAGACTTTTTGGGTGACTTTGGGGTTGCTACTGGGGAGGGAGGGGGAGAACACTTGGGAGAAGGCTGTAGGAAAATAAATAAACAAATATAAGTCACAAATCTCTTAAAAGCTATTTCACCAAGGCAGACAAATGATAAAGCTGAAGGTAAACACCGAAATAAAGATTAAATCTTTAAATAAATTTTTCATCCTAGTGTATAAAAGTATTATTGCTAAGATTTGTACAGTTTTCGAAAACATAAAAAAGTGGTGCTTAATTTATGCTTAGAGGTAGAATGATTCCATTTTTTTAAATTTAAAAAAAATCACGCCATGGAGTAGATACATGTTAAATAACCTCCATTGTGCTATTTTGTCTTTATTTCTCCCCAAAAATTGATCAGATGATGGCTTTATCACCACTTTTTCATTTTTCAAGGGTTTGTACAGTTTGTTGATTTTTAATTTTGATCTCAGCCGCATCAAATGAATGCCAATCAACATTTGTTGCACTGTCAAACATTACCTATTGACTCTTGACCGGGTCGTGGTGAATTCTGAAACAATATTCAAAATAAAAATTAATAATGATCAAACTCCTCATTTAAAATCTTCTCAGAAAGGAAAATTAGAAGCACAAATTTATAAAAATAATTCATACCTTAAATAAGTTCTAGGAGGGAAATGAATAAAGCATAATCTATGTAAAAAATTGCAAAATTGACAGGCAAGACAAAATTTGTTTGCAGTGCATGTTTTCGCATTAATATACTCCTTACAATTAAGAGTTTTAAACGTTTTGTCAATGCAGAAAAGAAATTTGGTAAAAACATTATTATAAAAAAAAATCTGTAATAATGATAATCAATGATTGAATATTATTGGTTGAAATAATAATAGAGTAGAATCTATTACAAACAAAATGTTACATGAATACATAATCATGTCCAGAAAACATACGTAGTGTAGAATCTGGACATAAAAAAATATCATGGGACAGAATTTCACTAGGACAAAAAAAATATGAGGCAGAATCTTCTTCAGAAAAAATATGGTAAACAAGAACCACATACAGGTTAAATCATTTTGAAAGATCAAATCTATCATGAAAAAATTTTAGTTTTTACTTAAAAATATCATCTATCATAGCAATTCATAATTATTCTCTCTAAAAGATAAAGTATTTTGTATATAGATCGTAAAATACATGTTTGTTTTCTTTTGTCTAATTTTTACAAAATTTTAGAACAACTTAAAAAAGTGATCATGATATTTTGCATCATAATGCCTCTCAATATTCTATCCAGGATGCATGAAATACTTAGACATAATAGTTTTCTTTGCAACCCCAACCATATTTTCATACAAATTGTGTAACATTTCAATGTATTCTTACATAATATAATTTTATCAGCTCATATTTACCATTCAGTAACAGCTATTGAATGAGCATTTGGTACTGGATACTTGAATTTAATTTGACTATTGTACAATTATCAGGATATCTAATACATAAAGTATTAAAGTCAACTATTTTAATCATGACTTTAATTTTTTTTTTCAATCATTGAATCAGGGATTTAAATCATTTAGGTAAAAAAAGATCAGGTCAGAAAATCAAAATTATTGAATAATTGGGAGTTTTCAATTCGATTTTTAAAATGTTTAAATATTACACACTATGAGTGAAATTACTCCAAACAAAATGCAAGTATAATGGAGTCTAATAACACTTTTATTTTTTGATCTTAAATAACAATATAATGTAAACAAAATTTTGGATTTGTTGTCTCAAGAGTAAATGGGTTACACCATCTATAATAATGATAAAAAAAAGCGTCAAAAGCTTTTTAACACTCTTCAGAAAGGATGTCAAATAATCAGAGTATCACAAAATTGGGCATCGGATAATTGGGGTTAAACTGCATTGAGTAAATTCCGAAAAGGATATCCATTTTCAAAAAACTTCATTAAGTTTCCCATAGAATACAACTTTTCAATTCAAAATAAAATATCTAAATTCAACTATAAAGAAATGTTTCACTGATAATCAATCCCAATGTTTATTACAGTTATATTTCATTTTCAAGGCATAAAAAAATATATTTCAGTTTAATTTATTTATGCATATTTCAAAAACAAATACAGAACTAGATTATATGTTACTCCAGATTTACAAATTCAACTGTCTGACATGAAGCCTAATTTACAGGTTATTAATAATTAAATGCCCCAAAAAATTTATTTTATATAATAAATATTTTCAAAATAATTAGTAGTTTTTTTTAGTTAATATGTCACAATTATTAAAGAACTTTATTTGCAAAGTCAGGGTGCCACCAATAGAATATTCCTCACAAGTTCCATAAGAAAAAAATAGAAACTGGTACCTTATTACATTAGATACTGTGACATTCAAAGAGTTTATAGTACATAGTACAGAGTTTATAGTACAAAGAGTTTATAGTAGCACAAAATGCTAAAAAATGGTTGAAAAGCAAAGAATTAGATTTTTTACGTTTTCTTTTTATACATAAAATAAAAACAAATCACTCACTCTTGTACTGCCTGGAACTGGAATGACTTCAAAACGGGAAAGTTTCTTTTCAGCTCTAGGTGTCTTAGGAGACTCGTTTAATTGTGCCCTTTTTTGTGCCTCTTGAAGTCTTCTTTCTCGCCCTAACTGCAACTCCAGAAGACGTAAAAGCTCAATCCTCTGTATTGATCCCAGTAATATCATTGACTCTAAAAAACAAACATTCCAATAACTAAAAAGGATAACACAGAAAATTAAAGAGCAGAGATAATTCATACCTGTTTATAATAACAAGAGAATAAGTTATAAGCATTAATATGTAATAAAAAATTATAAATACAGCATTAGAAAATACCTAGTTATCATTTAGTGATTTTCTAATTTGATTTTCATGTAACACAATTTTTGTTTGTGCCCAGAGTAGGCTTTCTTTTTTAGGGCTAAATAAAATGATACAAGGAATGAAAATTATGTAGATTTTATGATACAATGAAATTTGGAAGAATCAATTGTATAAAATGTAAAAAATTCCCTGTTTAAGGCGTGTTCAGATTATCTGCTACATTTCAGATTTTCAAATTCATGACTTTCCATGACTAATTCCAAAAAATTTTTGTTGACTTAACGGTTACTATTTTCTCCTACAAAAAAAACAACAATGAAATTAAAAAAGCATTATAATAACATTAATTGAAATTATAGGTATAACCATAACTGTTATACTCTGCATCTTCATATTTATAGATTTTAAATTTAAAAAACAGAGTAAAGAAAGAGATGAAGCACTAAAATAGTTGATAAAAATACGAAAGAAAATATTTTTTTCTGCAGAATTATATTCTAAAAATACTTTTCTTGTTTGCCGGAAAGGAAAGAAATACTCCTGATCTTTCTGTTCTCATTTCAGAACAAAAAAAATTCGCCAATAACTGGCTTGCTTCAGCTAGAATTTTAAATTGATAAAATAAAAAAATAACAAAAATTTTTAAATCACAGAAGTTTAAAAGATAATTCGCATTAGAAATGATGTTTTTTCTTTTCATTTTTTGAAAGAATACAATACTTATTAAAGAACATGATAAAAAAATTTTATTATTTTAATAAAATATGACTGTGAGTGGGAATTTTATTACTAATTCAGACATTCGGAACACCATGAAACTGGGGAGGGGGGGATTTCATTTTAAAAATTAGATTTTTCGTCAACCTAAATCCATGACTTATCATAATTTTTTTAAAAAATAGTAAAAATCATGATAAATTTTGTTCAATACCGAAATTCATGACTTTCAAGGTGCGCAGATACCCTGTGTGTTATAAAATCAGTACAGTGAAAAAATATACAATAATAATTATATAAAACAACTAACAAATTTATTGACTGCAATATTTTCTCATTCATAATTGATTAAATGGACATAAATTTTTTTTCTTACCTTTCATTCTAAAATTTATAATTTCGAATGATTTAAGTTATTGTAACATATTCTTAAATAACAATATTAGTTTACAAAATGTTAACAAAAATTTTTTTCATTACATTGAAAACAGAAATATTTCAAAAAAAATAAATAAAATTCTGTTTTTTAAACAAAAAAAAAAGAGAGAGAGAGAAGCTGATTACTCTAAAAAAAATAGTTCAGTTATCTATTTCCTTAAACTTTTTCAAAATATTTTCGAATTTTAGAAGATAAAAATTATAAAAACTTTAAAATCAATCAAGAGAAGCTAGAAAATTCCTGTAGTTTACCTTGATTGAATCACTGTGTCGCATAAACATTTGCACTTAAAATAGTAATGTCATGGATTAAAAATAAAGAATCATGAAACAATAAAACCAACTACCCACTATAGATGGCTACTGTAACATTTATATATTAAAATAAAAGCTTAACCAGGGGTCTGTCCAGGGTAAATTTACTACCGTTTAGCAGTACTTTCACAAATTCAACTTTAGGAAAAACGGTAGTTTCACAAATAAAAAAGCAAGTTCTCATGCAAACCCCGTTCTCGTTGCAATCTATGGAAAAGAGGAGCTTTTCTGCCAGCTGTCTTTTAACATGTCTCTTGTCAGCTGTCTTTTCTGCCAGCTATCCTTTTGTTTGATCAGATAGTGCAACATGGTAAGCCTAACCGATCAGATCAAAGCAAGTTTTTTTCGCCGAGTTTTTTAAATGAAGCAATGAAGCCCTCCTTCTATAAACTTTACAGGAAGTCGAAATTCGAACAATATCTTAAACTCTATTGTAGATATATTCTAACAGACCTTTATTTTTTTATGATCCATTTTTTTTTCTCTGTGAAACTTTTTTTGCATTATTAAAATTGCTAATTAAAATAACTTTTAGCACTAGTACTGTTAAATACATTTTTTTTATTAAATTCAAGTTGAAATTTAACTATGGACAATGATTTTTACGGATTTTGAAATTTGGATACAATTTTTGGCCCAAAATTTTACAATAGCAAAATTGTTTTTGAATATGTGGGGAAAAATATCTAGAAATCTTTATTTGTAGTGACAATTTTTGAAAATATTTTCTCACTTTATCATATTTTTGTCTTGATTTCCTAATATAATTTTTTATTTTCACAAATTATTACTTAATTTTCACAAAATAGGGACCTCTCAAGAAACTCGAGACAGACCCCTGTTTACTTTGAGCTTGAGGCAATTGACCTGTGGCTCTTCACTACCCTTCGAAAGTGCCTTAAGTAGAAAAACAGCCTTAGATAGGTAAATATAGAAACATATAAGTTGTTAAACAAACCTAAAGATTCGACTAGTGGGAAAAACTGAAGTCTCTTCTTCAATTTTAATATGCTTCGCAGGTCTTTGTATGAGCAGCCTCTCCACACACTGACAACATCTCGAACCATTATATCCGAAACATACACATTGTGAGCTCTGGAATTAAATTAAGTTTCAGTATATGCAGAAAGTTTTAATACATTTTAATATAATAACGACATAAGATTGCAAAAAAGGAGATAAGGTGAAAATATATAAGAAATGAAAAAAATAATACCAGGCATGCACAGAAAGTAATTTTTTTGTTCTGTTACTGCAGCAGTAATTTAGCAGTTCTGCACATGTGCACACACATCTCTGGTTGGTTGTCTCTTAACTGATGCTATTACAGCTAAATTATGTTATGTTTGCATGTCAGGGTGCGTAGCCCAATTTTTCAACAAAAAATAAGCATCTTTTAAGCACTCAAAAATATTTTTAAGCACTTTATAAAAAGATCATAATTAGGCAGAGTTGGCAAGTTTTTGACAATTGACGGTTTCATCCCGTTTTAACCGTCATGTAAAAAAAATAATACAAAAAAACTTTTGGTATAGTTTTTGACGAATTGTCGAAAATCATGAAATTTCGAATCACGTAAAATGAATGACATTTTCATACGCTAGGGATCATGGGTACGCCAAAATAGATTGGGGTTGAGTTAATTGTGAAAACGTTGAATAGAACAATGTGAAAAGTGTCTTTTTGTATAATTTCTGGTGAAAATCAACATGGTAAAGGAAAAATCTCATTTTGGAAAAGGGAAAATTAAGCACTTTTTAAAAACACCCAATGAAAAAAGCACCTTTATGGGCTTTTTAAAACACGAAAATAGAAAATAAGCACCTTTAAGAACGTTTTGTAAAAACGTTACGCACCCTGACATGTGTTAGCAGATATTTAAAATGTTTAAGACTATTGCTGACTGTGAAAGTGCTTTGTACTACAGTTTTTGTTTACAAAGAAAGGCGATGCAGTTGAAATTAACTTCTAGATTCATAGTGAAAATGTAATGAATGATGGTATGGTGAGAATATCAATTGCAAAATTCAATGAAGGACACACAAGACAAAAAAGTTCATGGCAAAACAAGAAGTTGGCAGCATTCTGTTGTCAGTGATAGTTTATTTGCAAACATAAATGGCTCACAATATGTTTACTCATAAGTGGCTCAAATGCTTTGTGATGAGTTTGCGTGAATTTTAAAAACTGTTTCGTATGAGATTTTGACAAATCAATGATGAGGAAAAAAAAAAACAAGGTTCAACAGTGGCTGTCTCCTTTGGTGGCATCCTTCTTTAAAGAGGATATACATTTGAACAGTTGAGAGTATATATTGACAGAAGAGGGTATATATTTAAATATTTGAACAATGTAGATAACTAAGTAGAAAAATAGTTTCCAAAATTCTCGTTTGTGCAAAAATAAATTTTGTTTTGAATAAAAAAACAGTATTTACTTTCCTAACGCTTCTCGTAAGAGGAAAATGCATGAAAAAAAAAATTTTGTGTATAGCAAACTAACTAATTGTCAATGCTTTTGTTTAAATAGTGCATCAGAAAAAATATAACATTTAAGTAATTTAATAATAAAACTAATTCTGAAAATGTTATTCTTTTAGTTCCTAAATCTGATGTGGATTTCTGCTTAGTTTAAGCTAGTTAGTTGATATGCATTTTTACCATATTTATTTGTTACTTACCAACAATTAAATTTTCAAGCCCTTAAAAAAGTAATGGAATTTCTTATTCAGTGTTTTTGAATATCTTATAAAACATAACACAATATTAAAATATTCTATAAAATACTCTGAAATGCTTGACAAGCAGAATAATTCTATAACACTGCAATTTTTGAAAAGTAAAACTTGTATTGTATTACCAAGGTTATACAATATATATGTGCTCAGTTATTCAACCATATTATAAAATAAACAAACAATCTAAAATGGGTAACATAGAAAAATAATTGAGAAAAAAATTAAGCAACTCACTCAGATGATGTAGAAACTATAGGTGGTAAATAAGGCAATTTTTTAATTTGTATAATACTGTCGTATATGGACGGTTGTAAAGCTTGAGATATACCATTGGCAATCAAAACAGCAAGCTGAAATAATTAAACATTTGGAATAAACAGACATTTATGAACTTTAGCAGAGTATTAAAATATTTGTGTGTCATAAACTTTTTTTGGTAAAAGTTAAAATGTCAAATTTTTAAATTTATAATAAGTTTTCCGGACCATTTCTTTATCCCCCTATGGTGACTATACAAATTTTAAATAATAAATAAATAAATAAAAGTGTTGAAGTTATTGCTAAAACTTTTTTTGTTACAGCCTGTTCTCTTATTCGAATTTTACTATTATTTTTGGATTTATTTTTCCTGGCTGCACTGCTATTTCAAAACCAAATTATGTAGTTCTTCTTTTTAATGTCTCAGCCTGCCTCTTTCTGCCTTGTCTGTCTATTTGAGATGGCCTCCTTATTGAAAAAATAAGCAGTACTTGTCTGCCAATTTTCAGTTAGTAAAAGATTTAGCCAATGAGAGGGCAGAGAAGAATTTTTAATGGAAGTTTTAAAGCAGGGGCAAATAGAGAGATAGGGAAAGAGAGATGGACAGAGAGACTGGGCGAGGGAGATGGAAAAGTACAGCAAAATATTTATAATTGTAACCTTTAGTGATCACTCTAAAATTATCTAATTTATTATTTATATTTTTTTTTTGCTTAACTTGATATTAATGTTCTGCTACATGAATTATAGGATATAGTTGTTTAATATTTTAAAATTGGCTACAATTACATTTTAAAATATATAACTATATCCTATTCTATATCACCATCAACAAATCAGGGGTGATTGTGAGCCTAAGTCAAAATTCCGGAAAATTCCCTGCGTATAAAAATAAAAAATAAATTTAAAAAAAAAAAACATTTTAAATTGAAAAAATAAAAATTTAAACAAGGTTTTTTTCCCTTTTCTCAATATTTCTTAGTTTACTTAAAATATATTTAAAATTTTACACATACCTATGATGACCTGGAGAAGTAATTGAAATTTACAATATGTCTTTCTTTCTTGAGTTTATGATTATAATAACTACTTACTGATAAAAAATGAATATTAATCATAAATATAAGCTTATAAAGTATCTCTGGCTCTCCCTTACAAAAAAAAATAATAATAATAAACTGTGCTTTTAAGTTCCACCTTTGAAAATTTGATTTCCGGAAACTTCTGCGATCAATGATGGAAACTTCCGGATCACTGTTTGCGAAAAATCCGGAAATCCGGATTTTTTCCGGAGTACAATCAGCCCTGACAAATCCACATTGAGCAGAAATAAAGTGCAAAGTTTGTCGAGAAATAAGAATCAAAAGAAGATAATTTATTTTATATAATTTTATGTTGATAAATATTTTGCTGCACTTAAATAGAAATAAAAATCCTAAATCTTATCTCTCATTTGCAGGCCCACTTTCTCCTCTTTTCGTCTCTGTCTATCTATCTGTCTCTTCCAGTCTCTTTGTCTATCTATCTCTGTCTCTCTTATTTTCTCCTGCTTCAAAACTTCCACCAAAACTCTCCTCTGCTTTCTCAATGGCTAAATCTCTTAACTAAAAATTGGCTGACAAGTACTGCTCATTTTTTCAATAAAGAGGCCATCTCAAACAGACAGCCAAGGCAGAAAGAGCAGGCTGAGACTCATAAAAAAGAAACAACATAATTTGATTTTGATATAGCAGGGCAGTGCAACCAGGTAATATAAATCCAAAAACAGTAGTAAAATTTGAATAAAAGAACAGGCTGTAACAAGCAACTTGCAGCAACACTACAGTGTTGACAAAAGGATATTAAGTTTAGAAACAAAAATATTTGTGTTATTAAATTCATTTTGTATTGTTTGAACTTCAAAATTATTTTAAATTTGTTTGTTACACTTCACAACATCTATCTAAAAATAATATGCTTCTGAAGAGCATAAAAAATTATACAAAATTACATAAAAAAAGTATTACATGACATAAAGCATAAAAATTTTATTATGCAATAACCAAAACAGTAAAAATATTAATATGCAGGATAGTAAATATTAAAAACTGATGAGAATTAAGCAGTTAAAAAAATGAATGAAAATGAAATATGACGTTAAATATTATTAGTGACTCACTATCACAGGTAAAATATGCGACATCTGACCAGTCAACTCAAACACAATGACTGACGTGGAAATGGTGTGGGTGACACTCCCGGAAAGGGCAGCAGCACCTAAAGAATTACAGAAAACATTTTTTTTGGTACAAAATACTTCCAAATTTACTAGCATCTTAACTGCATGGAAAGCAAAAACTAAAACTCATGAAAGGAAGAGTAACATGCCTGCAGTAGAAATTTGCCCAAAAAGTTGTATAGGGTAAACCAACCAGTGAAGGAACACTACCCAGTGAAGGAACATTTCATATATATTGATTAAAAATAAGAATTTGGAAGTTTTTCTTTAGATTGATTGGTAACAATAGCTTACTGTAAAACAATCTAGCAATGTTTTGGATTACCTGGTCAAATAGACTTCTCTGGAAAAAATTTTGAATTTGTTATTATCTCTGCTACACCTTGTTTCTTTGAAAAAATTATAAGGTGAGTGTTTGTATTTATATGTTTGAAGTGGAATTAATTGCATGTAATAGTTTTATTTTTCTCACTGTGAAAAAGAGAATACAACATATAGTTATTGAAGTTACGTTTTATTTTTTTTTACGCATCATAGCATAATAAAGTTCTGAGATAAGGAGGTGTTTATTCACTGGATCACCAAACGATGAAAAACCAGTAAAGGAACAAGCGTTCCTTTACTAGGTTTTTTTCTAAGTTAATGAAAATAAAAGATAAACTTTAATTTTCGTGTACCTTTAGTGATGTTCCGCATCAAAAGTATGTCAAAAATACGAAAAACAACTTCTAACCAGTGAGGGAACAGGCATATTCCTTTACTGGGCATTGATTTCCCAGTGAATGAACAGTATGTGTTAATATGTTGACACTTTAATTTTCAATTCATGATTACAAAAAAAAAGTTAACATTTTCCAAGCATTTATATGTTATAATTTCAAGAATAGGCTTGTTTTTAAATATTTGTATGGCTTATAAATTCATAAAGAGCATTAAAAAGTAACCAAAATTAAGTGTTCCTTTACTGGGTGTTCATTCACTGGTAAGAGCTGTTCCTTCACTTGGTTTTCTTACTACTTATTATTTGAACCTTCAAAACATTAAAACAATATTATGTAAGTTCTCTACAATTTTTTTACTTAATTTGCAATTAGTAACAAATATGTTGACACTGTCATTTAACTAAAATTACGAATTTTGAAATTAATATGATTTTTTAAAAGGCAAGCGAAGCTTAAGTGTTCCTTCACTGGTTAGTTTACCCTATATAGTCAGCAAAGATAAATTTTAGGCAATTTATAGAATGGCTAAAATTTAATAACAAAATATGAAATGATAAATATTTCATGTTTTTTCCTGTGTGTATTCTATTTAAAAACAAAATTGCAAAGTATACATAGAGTGGCCAAATGTCAGACATTCTTAAATCTTAGATAAAATGTTTGCATTTCATACTTTGGTGGTCTTTTGGCCATAGCTGTATAACTTCTGAATATAACATACAATGCTTAAGAAGTGTATGCAACTATTTGTTTAAAATGTATTATTCTATACTTTACTGGGAAATATACAGAATTTTTTATACTTTTCTAGCAACAAATACAAGTCTAAAAATACTAACAAAAAACATAAAATAATAAAAATAGTCATTCCTTAACAAAAGGTATGCTTGGAAAACTTATGGAAAAACTTTAAATAAATCTTTAAAAAAGTAAAAAAATTTTAAAAAAATTATTAGGTAAAACAGTACTGATGAATAAAAATTTAATTCATTGAACATACAATTCACAAAAAACTCACTCACATCAATTTAATTCCTCCATTCTGACAGTTCATTAAACAAATGTAAAAATGGTATTTAATTTATGTAAAAACACAGTCCTAACAGTTTTATTTGCTCAGCTGTAAAATTATAATAAAAATTTACAAAAAAAGTACCTAAAAGCAAAACAGAATTATGTTCTAAAATATGTGTACAATATTATTCTATATCAGGTCTCTCCAAACTTTTCAGCCAACGAACAACACTGTCTTTTTTACAAGTCAGTGTGGCTCTTTGGCTTAAAAGGGACCAAGAACAAGGTGTTATTTAGTTGTAGAAGGAGATCATCTTTATCTAAGCTTTAGAACTTTGGAAAAACTGCTCAATTTTTATGATTTTTTTTACCATTTTATGCAATTTCCAGGACACTTCAGTCCTCTTACCTCCCTTCTGGTAAGGCATAATTTTGAGTACTTGGAATCATTTGCCCATAACCTAGCTGGTCATACTAACATACTTTAGTTTTGAAACGGGCATAAATTTCTATTTTAGAACTAGCAAATAAGAAAGGTATCTATGAGGTGAGAGTACATGTAACTAATAAGATTTACTCCCATTGTAAATTTTTGGCATAAAATAAATTTTACAGAATCTTGATTAAAACATTTTTTACTTATGCTAGTGACTTTTCAGTATTTTGATGAGGAAAAAAAAAAACAGCCTATCACTGTAACACTCTCAACAAATTTGAAGAACTATGATGGAAATTAATAGTTTTTTTTTTTTGTATTATTCTTAATAACATATTTCCTACAGATTTGGAAATCACAATAAATTTTTCGAAAATTTTGGTATATGAAGAATTTCAGTATATGATTTTGATTGGCTTGAAAAGCATCAACTAAAAAAAAATTGCTTGTGGCAATTTTGAGCCTATCTACAAGTTTACTTATAAGTATTTAAAGGAAAGTTTAAGAGATGAACAGTGATTAATGCAGCGGTAGTTAATCTGGTTAATACTTTAAGCTACTTTACTTCTCATATACTAGATCAGTACAGGCAGTTTCTGGATTAAGAACTGATACTACAGTTACTCCAGATCATAAGCCATCCCATGATCACATGACTGATGTTATATAAAATACACTTATTTACTACAACCTGAGTTCATTCAAAATCTTTTGCTTTTTAATTACTAAAAGTCTGTTTAAACTTCTAGCAATACTGGTCTACTAGTAGGTTATACTTTTATGGCAGATGAATAGGTGTTTTTTTAAAGGTTACATGTCTCTTGTCTACAAAGATGAAAAAATGCAACATCAATTGACACGCATATCGTAAAAGTTAAAATAAACAGATAACAGCCAGATTTTTCAACAAACAATAAGCCCCTATTAAGTACTTTTTAAGCACTCAAAAAATATTTTTAATCACTTTCCAACAAAAAAAAAATCATAATTATGATCCATGCAGTAATAAAAAAAAAATTTTTTTTGTTTGAAGTTTTTAATTTATAAACATAAAAACAAAAAAAATCAAAACATTTTCAAAAACTTTACATAATCATGATAAAATAACAAGTTTCTGATAAATATTGCAGAGAAAATTGTGAAAATCTTGCATCTTTTTTGTAATTTAGAATGACAATCGACACAACAAAGAAATAAAATCTCTTTTTTGATTAAAAAAAATTAAACACTCTTTACAAACCCCGAATAAAAAAAAGCACCTTTAAGGGCTTTTAAGAAACTTAAATAAAAAATAAGCAGCTTTTAAGCACTTTTTAAAAATGTTATGCACCCTGATAGATAGATATATGCATTTATTTTTAACAAACATCTTCTCCATAAACTTTAACTACATGAACTTTACAACTGTACTAAATTTGGTTACGGCTTGATTGAACAGTGGTTAAAAAAAACTGCACAACAAATAAAGAAGCACACGTGTGGGTGAGAGAAAAGGCTAACTACCACTGGCTTGATGTAAGAACCTTGTAAAAATTATATAATTCAAATGGACGTAATTAATTTTAAAAGCAGCGTAGTAATAAATTTCAAATGCAGTTACTATGAAACAAAAATCAATTTTTCTCTAATATTATTCAGAGAGAAAGTAGTGTGCAACAGGAAGAATTCAGTAAAATTTTTATTAAATATTTAAAAGTTAATAAATTTCTAAATTGATCAGGAAATATTTTGCAATTACTATTATTTTGTACTAAGACCTTCATGCATACAATAAAAAGGTTTTTTTAACAACTAGAAAATTTTAAAGGCAGAAACGATACTCGTAAATTACACAATATAATATAATTCTCTGCAAAATAGTTATCAAAAAAAATATTCCTTACCAACAACAGCATATCCACCAGGAATTATTCTGTTGACACTCCCACCAAGAGTAATGCCCTCAGGAAACCATGATGCCATACATTCTCCCACAAGTCTCCCAAAAGCAGCCCCTTAAAAACATGTTAAAACACTTATAAAATCATTTAAGGGACATTAAAATTTCAATGTTTGTTTCAAACACATAGTAGATATCCTCCGGATTAAAGATGTTAATTACAGGGTATCTGCTACATTTTAGACTTTCAAATTCATGACTTTTCATGATTAATTCCAAGAATTTTTCAGGACTTAACGAAGTTACTATTTTCTCTGACAAAAACGAAACAATAAATTATAAATAGCATTATAACATTAATTGAAATGAGAAGTATTACCAAAACTGTTAAACACTGCATCTTCACATTTATAGATTTTAAATTTAAAAAACAGAGTGAAGAAAGAGTTGAAGCAATAAAATAGTTGAAAAAAATCACAAAAGCAAATAATTTTTTTTCCTTTTTTCTGCAGAATTATATTCCAAAGAAAATTTTCTTGCTCATCGAAAAGGAAAGAAATACTCCTGATTTTTCCGTTCTCATTTCAGAATTTTAAAAAAATTGCCAAAGACTGGTTTGCTTCAGTTAGAATTTTAAATTGATAATATAAAAAATATATATAAATAAAAATTCTGAAATCACAGAAGTTCAAAAGATAATTTGCTCTAGAAATGATGTTTTTTCTTTCATTTTTTGAAAGAACACCTTAATTTTTATAGTACATGATAAAACATTTTATATTTTAATAAAATATGATTGTGAGTGGGGATTTTGTTAGAAATTCAGATATTCAGAACACCATGAAATTGGGGGGGGGGAGGGTTAATTCTGAAAATTAGATTTTTACCGGTGACCTAAATTCATGACTTTCCATGATTTTCTTTTTTAAAAAATAGTTGAAATCATGACATATCATGACAAATTTTGTTCAATACCAAAATTCATGACTTTCCAGGTACGCGGATACCCTGCAATGAATACAACACTATTTAATTCTACAATAAACTATCACCTCTATTTATATTAGCTCCACTTCAGTCTATAATGTGCCTGATTGAGTTTAAGCACAACATTTTTTTTTAAATTATTAAAGGAGAAAAGATTTCTCAAGCATTATTTCTAATGAAATAAAGGCAGCAAGTTCCATGCCAATTTGTTCAAAGCGAATTATTAAAAAAAAATCATTATATTTAAATCTTAATAATGAATTTGCTAAGAAAAGACATAAAAAAAAGCATACCCATTTTAAATACAGGAATAAAAAGACCAGATGGCACAGGTAATGTTGCAGCCAAAGTACTAGTTAGGAACTAAAATTAAAAACATTAACATAAGAAAACAATTATTTATAATAACATTTTTTTTAAATAATTATAGAATAAAAATATTATTTTCTTCTTTGAAGCAATTTTAAAATATCTATTAAAATCTAGCAGCTATTTACAACAGCAAATTTAACAATAATTTCTTAAAGTACTATTATAAGATTTTTAAGAGATAAATAAATTGAATAAAATATAAATAGAACTCACTGTTATAATAATAAATACAACTAAATTAGCATATATATTAGTATATTTTGTAGTCCAGTGACTAACAATGATAGCTTCATCTACTTCTAAATGATGATTGGACCAGGTGACATTACTAAATAATTCATTCATGGACTCATGGGTAGTCAACTGAAAGTTAAAAAAATAAAATTAAAATATTGACTCCAAAAGTTTTTCATTTCCTCAGAAAAGCATAGCAGCAGTTTTTTTCATTCTATATGAACAACAAAAATTACAACAATTTGGAGTAGCACCTTATCTCTGCTATTCAAAGAACAGCCATAGTCATAGAAAAATTTTCGTCAAAATGAAACATGATAGAACAACATAGAACACACAAACAAGATATGAGTGAAAATTCTGACTTACATAAAAAGTTAATTAAAATAAAAAAGAAATATTGATGGTCCTACGTATTGGATAAAACAAAATTTTAAAAAAGTTAAAGGTCTTTTTAAATATTAGAATAAACACTTTAAATATCATTTATAAAGCAAATATCTAAAAAAGTGCTAAGATTTATATTTTTAAAAAATTTGATACAGTTATAAGTTTAGCAGTTTATCATATGAAAAATTTACTTTGTCATTTTATAATCATTACAATTTTAGCTTGAAAATTTGTTTAAAATATTCCTTTCTCTAAACCCTGAAGATTACTCTAAAACAAACCAACTCTAAAAATTTAAATTTTCAATTATTTATTTCAAATATTTTATTTAATTTTATAAATTTATATTAATAGATAATCATTAAACTTAATTTTGGAGAAAAATGTTTTAACATTTTGAATGCTAATAAAAAATTTATAAAATTATAAAAATTTTAGCTTTCAAAGACTAACATTTTATACATAATTCTAAAATTTATTAAAGAAAACAAAATAAAAAAAATTATAACACCAGAATTTCAAATTATAATATTAAAATTACTAAATAAATAAGTAATTTTTCCTAAAATTTCAATTTTAAAAAGAGAAACCTGAAATTTATTAAATATCAAAACTTACTTCTGCAGCCATAAATTGTCCAAGACCCAATGGAAATGTCATAGTCGAAATGATGAGAGTTATTAATGCTGGATATATAAAACGACTAAATAAGAAAAAGTAATATTTCAGAGTGAACACTTTATTAACTGCCATTATTTTTGAAAAAAGAAAGAAAATTAAATAGATATAATCCTTAAATCTAAAGATCAGAAGGCAGAAATATAACAAAATAATAAGACAAAATTTAAAAACTGTAAGACAATAACAATATAAATGCATAATGATATACAAATGCTTAAAGAAAAATCCTACACTTAAGAAAAAACTGTCTAAGACTATGTCCATGTCAAAGGAAAAACTTATACTTGAAATAGAAAAAAAGCATATTGAGTACATATTTTACTATAATAACTATTTAACCCTCATATTGAGTTAATGACTCATATTGTGCAAGATTTCCAACTCAGTGTTTGTACTCAAAATAGCAAGATAAAAGTGAGTATATATTGCTGAAAAGCAAACAAGTTCCAATCCAAACTGAATTTTAGGAGTGCATTGCTGAAGGAGTTCAACTTAATTATTACACAAAAAAAAAAATAATACAAAATAACTTTATATTCTTTCTAAACAATTATTGGCTTAAATCATTTTTAATTTTTAAAATTGTTATTTCAACTTAATTTAGTGGAATCCATTTAAAGGAAACTTCAATAATTTTAATCTATAAAATTTTCATGCCAATCATTTAGATTTAAGTTAAATTGTTGTAAAAAATATATACATACTGCAGTATGCATACATGAAATGCAAACAATCTCAATTTTATGAAAATTTCAAAAATTAAATGTTACTTTTGCTGGAGAAATGCATTCATCCTTTTATGCTTCCTATTAAAATAAACAATCTGTCGGTGAAACCACACAAAGAATGCTCCTCCCAGGCCACAGACTGCACTGAAAGGGGAAAAGTCACATTCAACAAGTAGCAGTATGATACACAATTAAAAAATTTAAAGATCTAGGTGACACTTTTGAATAAATTAAGATTTCTCCGTAAAAACTTTTTATGAAGATGCCTTTTTAAAAATTGACATAGGCTGAAACCAAAATAAAAAAAAGCAACTATAAGGACAAAATTTGGTTGAATCCTTTCCTTTTCTATGAGAAAAAAAGCAGCGAGGCTTTCCACAGCATTTCTAAAAGCACTACATTTTGCTCTTTTCTTTAATTCTTGTTTAGTGGAACTCATAAATTTCTTTAATTGCCCAGCATTTCTAGAAAGTTCAAAAAATCGAAACCGTAAGTTTAGAAAAAATGTAGGGTAAGACACTCAGGGTTCCCACTCTATGATGAGATTGAAATTCAAGGACTTTCCAGGACTTTTCAAGGACCTTAATCTAAGACCAATTTTAAAAATTATTCTCTTCTATTTTACTAGAAGCAACAATGCTTGTTGTGGCAATAATTAATTTCAAATATAATACCTAAATGCTTTGCCTATATAGAGAGAAGAGAGTATATGAATTATGGACTAAAATTTATATTTTTTTAAAAACAACCCTACTGGTTTTACATATTAATTCACAAAATCATTTTCAGCACAATCTATAACTAATGGTAATGAGGTGTTAATGGTGAAGAGGAGATTTCTTTAATCCTGGGTATTTCCACGTGATGGCTGCACGAGAGAGACAGAACTAAATCTTAGGTATTCCATAACCCCCTCCTCTCCTCCATCAAACATCATTTCTGAAATTATAAAATTAATTTATCCATAATTTACACAACCTTCTCTAAATGTTATGCAGCAACAATTCTTTCTGAAAATAAAAATTAGAAGGAACATATTCATGAACCATATAAAGCTTACTTATTTTATAAAATAATGAAAGGAAGCAATACAATGGAAATATTTGGTGATGTCTCTTAAAAGATAAGAAGCAAACAAAATAATACAATATGACTTTATTAACAAAAATTCTTAATTAATGAAAATATTTCACTTCAATCTGAGATAAAGTAATAAACATTGCACTTGAATTTGACATAATATGCATTGCACTCTAATGATATAATAAAAATATTGCACTTTAATGATATAATAAAACATTGCACTTTAACAAAAATGTTTACAAAACGAAATGTCACCCAAGTCCAACAGTCATCTAAAATAGTTGGTCGTGAAACTAACTTTACTTAATAATATTCTGATTCTCACACAAAAAAAAAGTATTTAGCTATGAAACATTTTTTTAGTCATAAAATCTTACATAATTACTCCATAAAAAATAGAGAAATTAAATTGAAACTTAAAGTGTCCAACCTTTTTGAATGACCCATGATTGCAATGCAAAACAAAAATTAATCACATTTGTTTAATGCTTTTGTTACTTCAGTTAGTTTGCTATCAATTTCTNTTAGGCCCGGTTAGAAACGGTGGCGTTAAAAAACACGTGAGAGAGCTCGGGAACAAAACAGAAAGATCCGTGGGTGTTTTATAAAAAGGGCCGCCGGCAGTATTGGACAAATTCAAGGACCTATCAAGTTTTTCAAGGACCTAAGACGTTTTTCAAGCACTTTCAAGGACCTAAATTTAGCAAAAAAAAATTCAAGGACTTTCAAGGACTCTCAAGGACCGTGGGAACCCTGACACTTCTTTTAAAATATTGGACAAATATATGACACTTCATGGCTTTTTTTTTCTTTTTTTAAATATAGAAAAACTACAAGGCCCGATTTTTTTAAAAAAAAAGTTACTAAATTATTATCAATTATAGCAATAAATACTGGTACACCTACCCCGCAGCTGTTAAGTTTACAAAATCTGTGAATACTTTTTAACTGTTTTCGGACAAACAAAGTGTGGGGAGAGTAGATATCGACAATGTCAACCTTCATCTATGTAAAGGTACCCCAACATAGACTCGAGTTAACATGTCTTATATACTAGTGAATTGGAATTGTATTTTTGTAGTGGAAGATACACAACAGTACTCCCCCACCAGAATTATATCTGCGATAGAATTCGAAGAAAGGATATCACTAATTGATTCATTGCTGTTTTGTGAGAAGCCGGGAGAGCTGTATTAAGATCACCGTACTTTTTGAGCGCTGATAGTGAGAGCGATATTAAGTTCATGAGCGTGGTCGCTCTTGCGTTGCCTTTAGCAGACGAGTGTATACGTTGTGTGTGATGGAGACTGAGCAGCAACAGCGTGAGGAGGACAATGTCGCAGTCACAAGTAGCAAGTCTAACTTTTCAATGTGGACCATTCATCGAAGTAGGCATGTGTTCAAATCGTAGTGGGCGTTTCTCTCAAGGTAGGCGTGTTCAAATCGTAGTGGGCATTCCTGTCAAGGTAGGCGTGTTCACATCACATCCGAAGTTCACCAATGTGGGAATAGTAGTTATCGCCAATGTCAACCTTCATCTATGACAAGGTACCCCTCTATAGAATCGAGTTAACATGTCTTATTTACTAATGAATTGGAATATGTTTGTTGTGGTAGATACACTACACAAAGCTAGATTAATGTGATTACATTTTGTCCCAAATAGTGGCAACTAAAATTTTATTTTGAGAACACAAGCCAGAATAAAAAAATATATCATAGCTTTTTAAATAAAGTTATATTTATTATAGAACATTAAAAATTCCTCATGATTGCAAATAATATGTACAAAAATCATTAAAAAACCTCCTTTACATAAGTTAGAGCCAAATCAATTTACCCCAAACATTTTTTGCTTTATAACTTCCGTAACAGACCAAAAATATAAATACTTAGCAAAGTGATAAAATTAAATGATATAATTATTTTAAAACTTATTTACTCAAATTCCTTAGATTTATCATCACTCAGTTCAATTAATAATATAGATAAATATTTTTGCATTACTGTACAAATTTAATATTGAATTTTAATGACATTTTTGGAGAATGAAGATAAATATTAATACCCAATTCCTGCAAACACAATCAACTCCTGTGGATCAAAGGGAAAGTCTATGTGAAAGTTGGTCCGAAAAATTGCAGTTAAAGTTTCTATAAAGATAAAAACTAGAAATTAGCTCTCATAAATAAGAATATGAACAAAATATTTACTTTGAAACATTGAAATCTTAAAATAAAAATAATTCTATCATTGATAAATCTATTTTGCAGAAGAAAAAAAACAAAATATGTAATGAATAAAATAGATCATATTCAGTAATCCCTGGTGAAAATTTTAAAAATAAAATATTACAATAAAGTAATAAGCAAACCTTTCAATATTAAATGTTTTGACAAAATATGGAATTTTTTGTCGAATAATCTAATGTCTAATAATCATGAAATGTTCTTAACAGAATTCATAGTTTCCTCTTTCAAATTTTTAAAAGTTTGTAAAATAAAAGGATTAAAATAACAGAAAGCATAAAGCAAAAATATGATTTATAAGCCAACATTTAAATACTTTAAGAGAAGTATAGACGTTTCAATGCAATTAATAAAATATTGTAGGAGTGCACCACCTACGTCTGTTAAAGTGCATTTAGCTTATGCGCCTGAATTTAATAAAATCATAGTATATAGTTTTATAGTATATATATTTTTTTCTTTGCAAAATTAAAGTTTGTAAACTTTGAATCGCATATTTGTGTCCTCATTTTTTGATGTGTTGGCATTTCAATTGATATAGTTTACAATCACTTTTTTGGCTTTAGAGCAATATAATTTTACATGGTTTCAACAATCTCAATATTTTTAAAGCAATGTTAGGATATGCAAATTTAAAATTTGAGTTATGATTTTTGACCTAAGCCTTTTTTTTTTATCCTATATTCAAGTGACTTTTTAATGATTTTTCAGCAGTTATTATTGTGGATATCCACTTTTTTTTCAAAAATTGAGATATTTAATACGATAATATTACAATTTGCAAGATTCAAATCACACATTTAAATTATCACTTCTTAAATTATTACATTTGAATTTAAATAATCACTTTTTTTTATAAGTAGATATTATCTTATAGCTAACTTAATTAGAACACCAGAATTAGTTTCAAGCCATAGTAAATCAAAAAATATGGTAGCTAAATCCTAAAATAAAAAATAAAAAAAAAATTTAAAAAATTAAATTCTAGAATTGACATCAATCTAAAAAAACGTTTATTATAAAACATATAATAAAGAACATTTTACCTTCATTTTTAAACCATACTCCCAATAGCCTCCAAACCATAGCACCACAACAAGCGGCAAAGAAACCGCGCCAGTAATTCCTCACCGCAAAATAAACGGATGTTACTTCAATGCTAAATAACACACCTGCAAATATTTGTTTATATGAATTATTTAAACAAAATTTTATTTTTTAACATTCTTAGAACATTTAAGAAGCATGATGTTTGCAATTTAGAAGCATGATGTTTGTAATGAGAAAATAAAATTAATTCCACAGCATACTTTTGGGTGTGCAGATTACACGGATTGTAGATTATCATTTGTAACTACCAATTGTGTGAAAAGTAATTTTTAGAAAATATAAATCTTTTTCACTTTGTCAGATAAATCTGGCACTAAATGTTAAATATTAAGAATGAAATGTTAATTATTAGGCTTTATATTAGTCATGAGATATTATAAGGCAACAAGTTTAAGTCTCATATAAAATGTATTGTATTAATCAATAATTGAAGTCCCATGATGATTCCCTTGACAACATGAATCAGTGTGAGTATACCAATAATATATTTCAAAGATTGCTCCTAATTGTATCTAAGGTTCCTTCTATTGTATCTAAGGTTATAAGATATCATTAGAAAAATGTTAACTATGAAACAAAAGTGAATTAACCTCTAGCAAATTACTAGACAAGGATCTGTCAAGGTGTTTTTGAGAGGTACCTATTTTGTGAAAATTCAGGCGTAATTTGTGAAAATTAAAAATTATATTAAAAAATCAACACAAAAATATGGTAAAGCACTGTTTCCCAAACTTATGACTTTTGTGCACCCTTTTTTAATTTTTCATAACGCTGTGAACCGCTAATAAAAAAAATGAAAGTATTTTTTTTAAAATTTGTTTATTATTCTTTTTTGGTACACCAAGTATTGTAGATACTAACCAGTGATCCATATTCTATGTTAGGGATAAAAATTATATTTTATAAAAATAATCAAAATAAGTAGAATTTATCACAAACCTTTACTATAAAAAAATTGCACAAAAGTTAAAAATCACAACTGGCTGTTAACACCACCAATTATTAACTGCCAACTCTGCAAAAAATAGCCAACAGAAAAATACGCAATCGTAACTTTTCATGGCTAGCTTTGTTTCCAAATAAAAAAAATTTTTAAATTTTTGTTTGTTGCAAGATATTTCTCATAAGAACGCGTACCCCTCGCTAAACTGTTCCTGTCCCCTGGGGGTACGTGTACCACACTTTGGGAAACACTCTGGTAAAGTAATAAAATATTTTCAAAAATTGTTACAACAAATAAAAATCACTTACTACTGATAAATTTCTATATATTTTTTACCATATATTTAAAAATAACTTTGCAATTGTAAAATTTTGGGCTTAAACTTGCATCCAAATTTAAAAATTCATAAAAATCATTGTCTCATAGTTAAATTTCAACTTGAATTTAATAAAAACAAGCATTTAACAGTACTAGCACTAAAAGTTATTTTCATTATGAGAACATTTTCAACTAGGTCATCCAGAAAAAAGTTTCACAGAGAAAAAAAAATTTTAAAAAAAATACAGGTCTGTTAGAATAAATTTACAATAATGTTAAAGATAATGTTCGAATTTCGACTTCCTTTAAAGTTTAGAGAGGGAGAGCCTCATTGTTACATTATAAAAACTCAGCGGAAATAAAAGCTCACTTTGATATGGTGTATTTGATATGTAGTAAGCCAGTTAGGCTTACTACATTGCACTATCTAAACAAACATGTGCTGTCTTTTCGTATAAGACAGCTGGCAGAAAAGCTCCTCTGTTCGACAGATTGCAATGAGAACGGGTTTGCATGAGAACTTGCATTTTTAAAAGTATTTTGTCAGACTACCGTTTTTCCTAAAGTTGAATTTGAGAAGGTACAGCTAATAGGTAGTAAATTTACCCTGGATAGATCCTTGTATTATCTGCTAAAATACCAGGTTACTAAAATGCGAGGTATATTAAACTCTGTATTATCTCATAAAAATGACGCATATTTAAAATTATCTCTTTTTTTTTCTTGCCTAAAAATTTTTTGATTTCCATTTGTTATTATTTTCAGAGCTCTGAATATCAGTAGCAAAACTGATCTTGTCCCAATGACATATACTTTTGGAAAATAAATCATTTTTCTTTCTCTCAGTTCTAAAATACAAATTTATATTTCTTTATTGAGCTAAGTGTTACTAAAATGCTACCTAATGTAATTAAAAGCAAATAAAAACTTGCTGATGTCTTTTAATGCGCCATTGGAAATAAAAAATTTAAAAAATATTACTTTTAATGACTTGAGATTAATGAGATAAAAGCAATTTCTTTCAACAATCATGATGTTAAATAAAAAAACACAATAAATATTTGGAAAAATAAAGTAATAAGTATGAATAAGTAGATTAAACAATTTGTAATCATGTCCATAGAAACATAAAATGGAAAAAATTACCTCCGATTGGAGCAGCAAAACTACAGGCAACTCCGACAGCACAAGCAGCAGCCAGCATCTCATTGGCTCGAGATTCATTCTAAGAAATGAAACAGACAAGGAGACTTCATCATATAAAAGCTACAAATTACTCCTGAAAGAAAAACATTAGGAGTATATTCTGTTTGCATTCAGAAAAAAATTATGCAACATTTACTTACAAATAGCAATAATTAATACTTTACCTCATGAATTCCTTTGAAAGAACTCACTAATTTGCTAAGCATAGTAGCTAAAATGCTGGATATATGTACAAAAGGACCCTGACGGAGAAAAAATAATTTATTAAAATTTAAGGAATCAAATAAAAATTGAGCATGGGGAATAATGACCAAATATGAACAGAAAAATAAAACTTAAAGACATACGATAAGAATTATAAGTTTATCTAACAATTTTTGCTTGTAGCATGAAAATAATTACCTTTTTAAGTATATTCGTATGTGGTTATTACATTGTTTTTTGCACAACTTACTCACAACAAAAAACTCACTTTTCTTTATACATATAAAAATTAACACTACACATTCCACCTAAATACAAATAAATAAGATACCAAACTATGACTTTTAACTATACTTTTTTTAATAAATTTTATTTTGAAATTATTACAAATTTTATGTTATTAAAATTATTAAAATTATAAAAAAATTATTAAAATTATAAAATTATTATTAAGAATTATTATTATAAATTATTAAGAATTATTATTAAATTAATTATTATAAATTATTAGAATTATAAAATTTTAAATTATTAAAATTATAAAAAAATTCCATAATAATAAAAGCACAAGTGTCAATTATCGTACGCTCATCTTTAAAATACATATACATTTCATTTAATAAAACAGATGTATCAAGCAAGTTGGCAGCTATGCAATATGCTCATTTTTACCATCGCATTAATATAGCATGGCACCATTGCATAGCTCTTGTTAATATAGCATTGCATAACTGTTGTTAATGCAATGGTCAAAATGAGTAATACTTTTCTGAGGGAAAGAAAGCAAACATTTTCAAAATTATTATTGTTTAAATAGAAACAAACCTTAAACTTCTACTAATTAAAATTCGCAAGTTTTTATATTCAAGATAAAAATGACACAACTTTGAAAAACACTTCTTCTCTTAAAATATATCAGGCAATTTTGGCAAATAATTTTCTAGTGCAGTTACAATGCAAGAAAATTTTGCTACTATAAAGATAAAAATTACAGTTTTTAACAAAGCATATGATTTGAAATACAATATTTTGTAACATACTACACAAAATAAACATCTTTTAAAATTTTTAAACAAAATATTAAATTCCATATAATTACAAGCTATAGTTGGGGTTAAATGAAGAATGACCGTAATTACAACAAATCGGTAACTGACCGATAGCCCTGTAACTAAATGACGTTAATAAATTTCAATATCCTTTTGCAAATTATGCGGTAAAATTTAATATCATTCTTTCAGGAATAAAATACTCTTAACATAAACAGAGAATATGAATTTATGAAAAGTTTACAGAAAAAAAAAATTGGGCTATGAGCAAAAAGTTTATATTTTGAAATAACTGACTGATATTTATTAACTGAATTTAAAACTGCTTCAGAACAAAACACCATGAAGATATTTTTTGTGAAATCTTACAGTGTGTGAAACTCTATAATTTGCTTAACAAAGCACACAGACAATGTTTTTTTTTAAATTAGCAATATTTAAAAAAAGTATTTTGTACAGTAAACCAAATTATTAACAAAATTTTTAAATTAAGTTAAATAACTATGCATTTTAGTTAATAAGTTAAGATCTTTAATTCCAAACACTAATAAAATAAATAGTTAAAGCTTTAAAATGATGTACAACACTCAGTATTTTTATATGGAATCACATTTGTTAACATTGAAATTCAGATATTCAAATTAATAATTCCTTAGAATTGCTTTATTTAATCTATAAGATATTGGCATTGTTTAATATATCTGTAAAATACAATTTCAACCTTTTCAATGACACCTGGAGTAAAACCAAATGCTTCTCTGCAATTTAAACTTGTTTCTCTCATGTTACTTGAAACAAAAGGAACTTCTCAAAGTTTTGTTCCTAAATTACTTTCAACTTCTTAACAGTTATACCAGGGTTTTAACAGTAACGAAAAAAAATATTTGAGCAGTTAATAAATGAAAAAACTAATGCCCAACATTTATTTTTAATTTTTAAATAACTTAACAAGAAACAAGATACAAAAGACATTAGTAAGTTATGTTAAATTCAATATAATAATGATTACATGGTAAACAATTTTAAATCATATCCATAGAAAAGATTGGATCGTAGATGAGAAAAAAAAGATTTAACATCCACTTAACCTGACTCCAATTAATTAAATATTAAAAATAACATAAAAAATTTTATTCATGAAATAATATTATAAAAAGTTTTATTCCGAATAAAAAAGTGATCATTATGGTATATTATTATGGTATATGAATTTAATGTTCTGAATTTAATGTTCTGAATTTAATTTATTGACATAAATTTATTTTGAATAATAAATCCGTGCCAATTTTGTTAGAATTCGAATTGTGCATGTTAGAAACTGAATTATTACCTCTTTACCTAGAGGCATTCCACTACCTAATGTGCATGTTAGACCAATAACTTTGGAAATTAATGTGCGTAAAGACAAATATTCTTTGAGAACCACTCCTCTCAAGATAGTTTTCATTTCAGGAATGCCAGATCCTGAAAAGAAATAATATGGAAAATTAAATAGAACAATATTTTTTAAATCAGCAAAATATTTTATTTTTCCTCCTGTAAAAAAAAAAATTAAAATAAAAAGCAAAAAATACCAGTATGAGTTTAAAAAAATGAAATTTAAAAACTTATAGTGGAAAGTTATAGAACTATTATTTAATATTTCTTTTTATACATATAAAAAATAACTAAAACAACAACAAGAGGATGAAAATCTTAAATTAATACTAACCACAAGGGTGTTTGTTAAATATTTTTCTTAAATAAAACAGTTTTAACAAGGCAAAATAGCTTAAGTTAGTCGTTTAAGTTATCGCTACAATTATTAAACTAAAATGTAAAAACAGTCACATTGTTTTTTGTTTTAAAATATGCTTAAATTTGAAAATAAAAATCAACAATATAAAATCAGAAATACGTTGACAAGAAACTGCCTAAATACTTACAACTTAACTTATAGTTTAAAAATGCAGACGCAAATATTACTAAAAAGTTACAACAGATAAAATCGACAATTTTCTGACAAAATTTCACATTCAATTACAATTTTTTTTTAAAAATTTGCATGTCATGATTCTAATACAACATAAACATTAAACTTTTAACATTTATTTATACTTTATAAAAAATTATGTTGTATTTAACTTCATATAAAATGTATATTTAAACAAATCAAGCATAGTAGCAGTTGATATTTCAGAAAAAAAATTACCTATGGCTTGGGGAGCCATAATATGAACAAAACCAGCAGAAAATAAAATAAGGCACATAGGTAAAGCAACCCAGGCTAAGTACTGTAGAAAAGGATGAGCAGTTAAATCCCTATACAACCATATCCGAGCTAGAAAAAAAAATCAAATATGAATTTAATTATAACAAAAAGAAATTTTAGTATCTTTATTTTAAATTCATAATTTTGAATAACAATGAATATTGAACTTAATTTAGATGGCTATAACATTTTTCAATTTAAAAATAGAGTCCTTTGAATAAAAATAAAAAAACACTTCTAAAGTTATTATTATGAATGAGGCTTACCTCTTCGTTTAAAAAACATATTTTTTTTAAACACTCTAGCAAGCAATAAACTTGAGTACAAAGTTTATTTTATTTGAAATTTCTTTTCTTTAAACTTTGACAATTAATTAAATTATAACAAAAAGAAATTTTAGTATGTTTATTTTATTTTTAAATTCATAATGTTGAATAACAATAGATATTGAACTTAATTTAGATGGCTATAGCATTCTTCAATTAAAAAATAGTGTGTTTTGAATTTTAAAAAAAACAATTCTAAAAAGTGATTATTATGAATGAGGCTTACTTCTTCATTTAAAAATCATATTTTTTTTAAATACTCCAGCAAGCAATAAACTTGAGTACAAAGTTTATTTTATTATGAAATTTCTTTTCTTCAAACTTTCATAATTTTAAAAAATTTTCTAAAATAAAAAAGAAACAGAATTTTTCATTAAAAAAGGAGAAATTAGTAAATTAATTCCAGTATAGTTTGCAACTTAATATTATGTATTGATAAGGAGTTATCTATGGATAAGCAAAAAGAGAATAACACTTAGATTAGGGGTGCACAACCAGCAACCCGTCGACTGTTGATGCGCAGCCTGCGGGAGCTTCTAACAGAATAAAAAAATTTCTTTTTATTTGGTTTTTGCTTAAACATTATGAATTTTTCTTAATTAAAATATTTAATTGAAATTTATATTACTCAAAAAATTTGTACATTTTTTGCACTTTAATTCTGAAAGCAAAGTATTTAATTTTGTGCAGCTATGTTATTAAGTCTACTGATAAAAATATTTAGTGCGTAGAAAACTAATGTTTATATAAAAATGATCAGATTTGACGCTAACATGATTAAATATATGTGAGGCCCTTTGTTAGTCTATCTGCTGTGCAAGTGGCCCTTCACTCAAAAAGGTTGTGCTCCTCTAACTTAGATGCTCAGAAATAGGATTTTCTGGCAATACCTTTTGATTTAAATTGTTCATTAGCTTTCAATCAATTAAATTATTTACAAAATTATTTTATTTTTGTAATCTTTATTAATTAAAAATTTACGATTTATTGAATAAAGCAATTTTTTTAATTGTTAACATATCACAAAACAAAATTCTAATAAAATAAAACAAATAACATCATACTAACATTTTTGACACATTGATATACAGTAATCCATGGAGAAACTAAGAAGAGAAGAAATGACCCCTAAGAATGCTAAGAAAAACCAGTCTTCCCCTAATCTTGCAAAAGTGTTCTGCCAAAAACCTAAAAATAAAAAGAAAATAATAAACTTCTCATTTAAGAAATAAATACAAATGCAGAGAAGATGTCAAAACTTGTTCTATTTATGCCTATGACTAATAACATAAGCACAGGTAATCTTTAAACATCATTTTATTAAGCATTAAATTTTTTTATTATTTTTTTTAATAGTTTAATAGATTAAACATTATTCTTGTCTAAAATCATGTTCTAACTAGCTGATATAATTATTTTTCTCTCCCTAGGTATACTCTTTTGGAATATCTTACATGTTCATTTGAAAATCCTACAATACAGTATTTTTGTCGAAAATGAATTCTAACTGTAGTAAAGATAGTTGTAATAAGGGAATACAAAGTATTTATTTTTTTATTTAAAAAATACTTGCTTTACTTAATTGGAGACATCAAAATTAATAAAACAAGCATGCTATCACAAGAGAAAAAAGTTAACACAATCAGCAAACTTCAAAAGAAATTACAATACTAAGATTTTAATAATTTAAAAAGGTAAAAACAATATTACCTTCAATTTAATAACCTATGTAACTCAATGTAACTGATACAACAAAAAAAAAATATTTATATATTTACTACTTAAAAGATTAGATTGATATCAATTCGATTTTGAATTGATGTGACATACCAACAAGTTTTCTATGAATTGCATTTCTATAGGGTTTGAGTTCTTTCTGGCGACGCTTTTCTTCTTTTTTACGCAGCTTTTCTAAAGATTTAAGTCTTGAAGCTTCTAATCTCGCATATTCTCCTAAATCTTCCCGATACTGACCAAACATCTGTTGGAAATCAAGTGTGTTTATAACAAGAAAATGTAAATGCAAATTTTGGATTTAGAGGAAATATAAAAAATAAATTAATTAAACTTTAAAAATTATGATATACTATTTTCTCCAATTTTTAAACAACAATATTAGTACATTATTTAAAATATCATAGTCAATTTTTTTACAAACCTCTGTTAGCATATCAATAAAGTATGCCTATTTATTTAATTACAATACAAAGATTTAATCTAATAAATTTATCACATATTTATTATTATTAAAGAAAAGAAAATGTAAATGCAAATTTTAGATTTAGAGGAAATATAAAAAATAAATTAATTAAACTTTAAAAATTACGATATACTATTTTTTTCCAATTTTTAAACAACAATATTAGTACATCATTTAAAATATCATAACCAATTTTTTTACAAACATCTGTTAGCATATCAATAAAGTATGCCTATTTATTTAATTGCAATATGAAGATTTAATATAATAAATTTATCACATATTCATTATTATAATAAGAATCCCATAAAAGTGATTTCAATGTTGCATTTTGCCTACATTAGACAAATTTTTAAACCATTTTTGACAAATTCATTAATTTCAAAATACAGTCCACAAAATAAATTTCTAGAGGTTTTAAATTAATTTGCAGAATATAAATGTTCATGTTGTATAATGTATTATTGCTTTATTAAGCATGAAGAAATAAATTTTATTCAATGCAAAAATATCTTTGAATAAAACAATAAAATAAAAACAAAAATACAAAACTTATTATTCCATTTAATCATAATGTAATTCATCCTTTACAAACATATTTTTTGAAACATAAAGAAAGAAAAGAAAATGTAAAAGAAATTCACTAATAAATAAAATAAAAAAATATTGATTTCTTATTAAAAAGTTAAATTTATTCAAGCATTATTATAGTAGCAGTAAACAAATTAATGAAGCGAGAAGGTTCGGAAATTACGTAAATCGGTTACAAATTTTAGAAATCTTTTCAATAAATATAAATCTAAGTGTTAGTTTGTTTATTTAATTAGTAAACCGTATCACTGCGATGATTGATACACACACAAGAATTTTAAAACATTTGAAAAATTTAACTTCAACATAAGAAATAGTTTAATCAATAGATAAAATTTAATATATAAATCTGTAAATATTACGCAGGAAAAGATGAAACTTAAAAGGAAAATTCAGAAAGAAATAAAATAACATAAAAGAAATCGAAACAAGCAAATAAACAAAATTTGACATTTCCCTATATAACACGTCAAACATTCCACATACATCCGCTTCATTAAAAAATAGGTAAATAATGGTCAAATAATAAAGTCCTTATAAAAAACTACTCATGGACCTTGTTTACAATATAAATTAGTTTTTTAAACAATAAATAAATAGTTTAAAACTTACCAAAGTATGCTCATAACCAAGCGCCGCTCTTTCTCTATCCCCCATCGTGATTTTTGTTCTTGACTGTAAAAACGAAAGAAAGAATTCAAAAAATTAATCGAAATAAAAATGTTCGATTGGACAATAATTTCTTAAACATTTCGCTTCATTTAGAATTGTAATATTTCGCTAAATGCAGCGACGCAAAATAAAAACACCTGTAAGATCATCAGCACGAGTAGTTTTGTAATAAATTTTCGGAAAAAGAAGAAACAAGGGTTACAACGAAAGGTATTCATTCAAATGAGCTTTTTGGCTCATTTTTATCGCTCTTTTGGCAAATATAGAAATTTTCAAAAATAAAAAAATTTCTAAATGCTTAACCAAAACATTTTTCATATACATTGAACTTATTTAATTTTATGTTGAATGTTTCTTTTGAAAAATGTCCTAAATTTAATATCGATTCGCCGCTGCAGAGCTATATAGTTATAATACTGTTATCAGTAAGGCCCGGATTTTGATGACTTTTGCATTTTTTTGCATTTTTGGACATTTTTTGTCTTTTAGAGCATTTTTTTGGGCATTTTTCTTTTTTTTTTTTTTGGGCGTATTTTGCATTTTAATGCATTTTTTAAAGTTTTTTGTTAATTTTTCCAATTTTTATTATTTTTTATCAATTTTCATTATTACACTGGCTTCCAAACAATGAAGAAAATCTATAGGATATTAACAGGTGAAGCAAAATCTTTTCAAATTGAAGAAGAATTGTCAGAAAGTGAGACCGTCTTTTTCAAGTACACGCCTATAACATCAGTAGACGTTGAAAGAAGCTTCTGCAGGAATGAAAATTTACTTTCAGACAAGAGACGCTCGTTTACATTTCAAATTATCGAAAAACATTTAATAATCCAATGTAATTCTGATATTTAGTAATATTATGAGATGGAAGTTGTTATATCCATTAAAGTTTCTATACAAAATAAAAATATTTTGGTGTCAATATATTTTCCTTTTTTTGTTATTTTAGGATATAAAACATATTTTTCAAACTTTAATGAGCGTGGAACAAGTATTGCATTGTTTTATATTTTTTAAATGACTCATAATAATTTTAAAGAGCAAAACATTTTTTTAATTCAATATTTTTACTTTATTTAAGGCATTTTTTGCGCAATTTTTGCCCTTTTTAAGGGCATTTTTTGCACTTTTTAAGGGCATTAGTTGAGATTTTTTAGGTCATCAAAATCCGGGCTCTAGTTATCAGTAATGTGGAGTGGGTTTAACTTTGGAATAAGCGTTTGTCATTTTATATTAACGAGGGGTTAATGGAATTTGATTTTCAACTTCAGTATCTAATTTTGTCGGGGGGGGGGGTTGAATAATTTATTACACAAACACATTATCTTATTTTTTATTTATTTTTTTTTTTATTTAAGCCTCGCAAATGATAAGGAGAAATTACCACGCTTTATATTTAAATATTAAATTTTAATGTTTCTCTCAGTCTTTTTTTTTTTTTTTTTTCCAAGATAATTTGATTTTCTAGCCGTAAACTAGATGGGAAAATAATATTTTTCTGTATTTTAAGATTTATTTATTTTTATATTTGTTTATTATACTTTGATTAATCTGAACAAAGTAAGAAACCGCAAAAAAAGAAAAAAAAGACTCATAAAGAAATATGTACCCTTACGCTCTTTTAATGCAGTAGCTTAAAAAAAAAGAATGCAAAATTGTAATCGATGATATTCCATTACAATTGCGTCAATGAAATAGTAAAAAATACTAAAACTTATCTTAATTGATTACAATTCTGATACATTATTCGATTAAATAGTTTGAGTCGATGGTTATTTGATTATCTTCAATCAAATTCAATTATGGTTCGATTATATTTTATTAAATTTTTTTTTCGGGAAAGAAACTACAAAGATATTTTTTAAAAAAATTTTAAATCACTCATATTGACTTCTAATCGGATTATACTATACTGATATTTATTTTTATTACAATCTGATATGTACTCGTATAAATCAGATTTTAGCCAATAAATCGTTTTTGCTTTAAAAATTGAAGGGAAAAATAATTTAGCATAGTTCAAGTCAAAAATTACTTTTTCAAATTCGCGAAGATTTTTGTTTTTTAATGTATTAAAATTTATTTTTTTAAAAATCCTAAACTTCATTATTTTTCTGAAACCAGATTAGTTTTTTTTTTTTATTTGTTCAGTGTTTATTTTATTATTATTTTTATTTCTATTCCTAGAAAGCAGAAAATTCCACTGAAATTATTATAGCTCGTAATAATCGTTCATTCTTGTTATTACAAATATTTTTTTTCAAGCAAATTGTTATGAATATTAAAAGTTAGTTTTTTTATTGAATATTTAATATTTCTAGAAATATCGAAAGTTTTGCAATCTTGATAGAATCATGGACAAACAATTTTCCTTTCGATATTACACATATGAGGTTTGATCCGTTGTTTCAACTTAAAAGTTCCTTTGACTCCTTCGCTGAATTCAAATAATTCAAGTACATGAGTAAACAGCTATTGTTTCAAAGCTGCCATAACACTTACAAGTTATTTATCGGTGGAATAAAATAAGCAAACTTAAAATACGAAATTATAATAATTTTTCTTTCAATTCTCCATAAATAAAAAATTTACAGTTCTAATTTTTGTCTCTAATAAAATAAAATACATTTCAAATATATTCCTTCAAACCTCCTTGAATGAAGAATTTACAGTTCTAATTTTTGTCCCCAATTAAATAAATACATTTCAAATATACTTTTTTACTATTATTATTAAATTATTTTTACCTCCCTTTCAATGATTAGTTTATTGCTCCTCGTGTGTTTCATTGAATTATAAATTAAATTAATATAATAGTAATTAAATTAATCACATAAATTAATGAACTAAAAAAAAATTGCATTCAAATATGCTGAGGATTGAAGGAATAATGAACCAAGATATTAATCGATTTACTTTTCGGACAAATCAATTTACTTTTCAGCATATGATTGCATTTATCAGGGACCGATCAAGACAAATTCAGGCCCAAGGCCCACAAAATTTTCCGGGTCTCTAACGAAATATTTTAAAATTAAATTTCTGAGGAGTAGTCCTAACAATAAAAAGAATCTATTAAACTGCGTGACTCAAGAGAAACATTCTAAAAAATTTTTGAAAGCAGACAATTGAAGATTAGTTTTCTAAGATAAAGTTTATGCATCTAAATATTAAAGCAAAATATAAAACAACAAAACAATGTTGTATGAAAATAAAAATAGTTTGGTGACCACAAACAATTGAAATCAGTGATTTTTGCTAAAAGTCACTGATTAGCTGAATTATTTTAAAGATTGTAGCCTTCCATCTATAGCTTTACATATTTGTTAAAATAAGCTTTTAGTTCTTGTTGACACTAATCATTTATAAGAGACTTTGCAAATATGCATTCTCGTTAATTGCACCAATAAATTGAGTGAAAATTGCACCAATTAAAATTCAACTGTACTTTCGAATTTGATTAGTGCAATGCTTTCACGAGTTTGGTTTATCACAATATAAAGAAAATTTGAAATAAAGGCCTTTTTTGAAATAAACTGTTTCTTTCAGTATTTTTTTTTTTTTTTTTTTTGTATAAAAAGTTATATTGTGGACTTTTTACAAATTTTTGAGGCCCCCCAGAAAGTGTGGGCCCTAGGCCCGGGCCTATTGGGCCGAGGCAATAATCAGGCTCCGCATTTAATGTACTTTTATTTTTCTTGCAAACCTACGTGTGCACAAAAGGGTACAACACAACAGCCACCCCATAATAAACTCCTAACTAAAGGAATCCTGTATAAATAGTAGGCGTTTCATGAAAATGCTAATTAGTGAGGGCACCCGATGTTTTAAGTTACGAAAACAAACGTAATAACGTTCTTTCTTTTAATAAACATAACTTTTTTTTTGGAAGGATTCGAATTCCTGACCCTCAAAATACGGGTAATAGCTGTAATCTGAGGGATGGAAAGTTTGGAACCCGTAATGCTTTTTCTTATTTTTTCGTAATTCGTCATATTGCGAGAATTTTTTAAGCGAATCGAAAATTTTTTGCACCCAAAATTCGTTTACCCAAACATAATTATAAGCCAAAAATAATTTTTTATTATTTTTTATCGTTTTTTTTTTAATTATTTCATTTAATAATAGTCAAAATCACTGTGAATAGTAAGGTATACAAATGTTTACATTATTGAAAAGAATGTAATCTTATGTCGCAAAATACATAATTTATACGAAATCACTCCAATAGTTCCCGATTTATCAAATTTTAAAAATAATGTGGTAAATCTTCCATGCTAATAAATTTGTAATAATTTTATTATTTATTTATTTAATAATGATCGAAAAAGTTGATTTTTAAAGCATACAAATTTTTACATCATTTAAAATTATGCACCTTTAAAAAACAAAAATATATACAGAATTGGACGATTTGTGCCCGAGAAGTAAAATTTATAAGTACGAATTCTTTTACGTTTTCTAGCCCCAAAACTATTCGAACAATTTCGTTCTAGGTTAAGATTTTACCTATTCAAAAATGATGTAAAAAATTTTTATACCGTTACTATTAAAAAAATTTTTAAACATTATTAAATTTATTAGAAAAATAATAATAAATAATTATCAAAAATTATTAAAATGCTTATTGATAAGATAATTTTATAACTGTGAGCAAAAAGTTTTGATGCTTGCACAGTCCTAGAGATTTAACGAAATATGCCAGAAGTATTATTATAATTTAAAGGCAAACTTTGAACAGCATTTTTTCAAACTAATCTGTTCATATCCCAGATTGTAACTACGTCCCATATTTTAAGAGCGACGGAAGAGAATATTTAGAAAAATATGTTGTTTTTTTTTTCACCTGATTTCATTACTTAAAATATCGTCTGCACTAGTTAATTAAATTATTTAGGTTAAAATTCGAATATTAGACCATAAGTTATTATAAAAGTCTCATATTTTAAGAGAGACGGAAAAAAATATTTAGAAAAATATGTTTTTTTTCCACCTGATTTCATAGTTTAAAATATCGTCTGCACTAGTTAATTTGATTATTTAGGTTAAAATTCGAATATTAGACCATAAGTTATTATAAAGGTCTCATATTTTAAGAGAGACGGAAAAAAACATTTAGAAAAATATGTTTTTTTTCCTTCTGATTTCATAGTTTAAAATATCGTCTACACTAGTTAATTAAACTATTTAGGTGAAAATTCGAATATTAGACCATAGGTTATTATAAAGGTGATCTATTTTAGTTCCACGCATACTAATAGGTCAATATTCAAGACTAGTCACCTACGTCAGAAAAATAACAAACAGGCAACAAGCTATCACACTTCCAAATAAAACAAGCTTTTGTTGAAATGAACAATGAATTAAACAAAAGCCATGAGATATCCAGGACATAAAAGTTGTAAGGAAAGAAATTGGTTACATTGGTTTTTCCCGCAGATGAAAGTTTCTACTTCATGTAGCAAGTGAAAAAAGAAGTGTGTCAATGCAGAAGGTGAGAACTAATATCGAAATCTAAAAAAGAATCTAAATCAAAGAATGGATGAATAAGAACAAGGCAATACGAGGAATCTTGTTATGCAATTAGATTACTTTATTGTTAAACTGTGATACGAATTTCGACGAAATATTATTTTAATTTAATGCCTTATATTTAAGGAAATAAGTTTTTTTTTCTAAACAAAAGCTTTAAAATTTAAATATTTTTCTATTTGATGTTGACAGATATTTATCTGTATTTTACCGCATGATGTAAAACATGCAACACTAACGAAATCCACATATTTAAAAAATAACTATGTTAATTCAATCATGCAATTTTTGAGGAGCAATAAATAAGGTTTTAAAAATTGAGAAATCAAAAATCATGTAAAAAAAAACAGTTAAAAATTACAATTTTAAAGTTAAAAATTACAATTCCAATGCAGCAGAATTCCACAATAAAATTGAAACCTGTAGAAAAATTTTAAAAAGGAAAAAAAATGAAAGTAATGAAAAATAATGAAAAATATAATAATGACAACCGAAGCTGACGTCGTCAGGGAGTACCAGCTCCGGAAGTCATAAAAATATAAAACCTTTTTTAACGAGAGAGCCGGATAAGTGTCTAAAATTGCTCTCTCTGTACACCAAAGGTTTTGTAAGTCCAGGAAGAGAGAAAAAGAAAATACAAAATACAAAAACGAAATACAAAAGTAAAATACGAAACTAATTAGAAAAGGAAAAATAAAAATAAATTTTGAAATTAGTTTATGTATTTTACTTTTGTATTTTGTTTTCTTATATTTTGTTTCTTGTATTCTCTTTTTTTCTCTTCCTGGACTTCTTGCAAAACCTTTGGAGTACAGAGAGGAGAGAGTAAAATCATTTGTCCTGCTCTCGCGATAGAAAAGGTTTTGTATTTTAATGACTTCCGGAGCTTGTGCCCCAATGGCGAGGCCAGCTTCGGTTGTTATTATTATATTTTTCATTATTTTCTTTTTTAAAATTATTTATCTTAAAAATTGAGTGATAGACCGTTCATAAGTGATGTCACACATTTTTTCAATACATAGCCTCCTCCCGTTCGTCACAAAGTGTCACACTTCGCCCTACCCCTTGTTTCATGTCCTGCTATATTATGTAAATATATGCTACTAATGCAGAAACGGGACAAATATTATAAAGTGTATTTCAAATCTAATGTTTAAACTTTAACTAGCGATTTTCAATAACAGTGGTGTGCATAATTATATAATAATGATTAGATAATTTTGATTAAAAAATAAAACAAATTATAAAAAAATATTTAATCTGCTAATTTTATAATTTTTTTATTATTTGTAGGATATCACATGTTTTGTTACCCTTTCTTCTCCCTTGTCACAAACTGTTACAATTCCACTCAAAGCGTGTATCATTTATGGATGGTTCCTGAATGCTTGTTTATAACTTTGTGAGGGAAGACCATTAGACTGTGCCAACTTTCATATATCAAAAGGTAACCTCAAGATTGAGTCAAGTTAGCATGTCTTACATAATAGTGAATTGATGTTTAATAATAGTAGTGGTAGTTACGCCACAACTTCTCCACAAATTATCAAAGCTTGGTTAAAAAAATAAATCAATAAATAAATAAAGTTAAATGTTCCAGATTTTTAGGGAAGTTTTTAAATTTCAATCCAAAAAAAAAATAGATACTACAGAGATATTTTTAATAATAAAATAAAATAAAAGTTTTATAAACTAAAAAGGTTAATATAAAGGTTACTTAAAAAGTTTCAAGTAAATTAAAATGAAGAAATTAATTTCTCTTTTCTCACATAAAGCGAAAAACCTATGGTGTATTACTTTCGATACATAGAATTTTCGGAGGAAATTTAGATAGAAGATTAAAGATGCACCCTATGTTTTTCGTTATAAGTCAAACAAAAACTAAATTATTTTCTCCTTTTTTAGTGTTCTGTAAAAAACATAGTTTTCAAAAATTTTGTTTAGTTTATCATTTTCTTCATTTTAAAGTATTTTACCAATAGATATAATGACGATAAATTTTGCTTGATCATTTGGAAAACAATTGTTACTTACATTAAAAATAGACACAAAACTTCAATTAAAATTTAAAAATTCTAGCGAAAAATGATAGAATTTTTGATTATTGATAAATTTTATTCGGTGAAAATATGGCAATAAAGCTTGCTTCCAGCAACCAGAAAACGATTGAATCTTATACTATGTGACACAGAGTAGAACTTCGATAATAATTTGAACACATATTTGTCAGAAAGTGATCGGTACCTTTGTTGGTGGTGAATTCCCTGTGGTAATAATATGGTGATAAGTTTTGTTTATACTGGTCACGAATATAGATTGAAAATCGTATTTTGATGAGGCACAGAGATCCAGATGAGAATTGAGCACTCTAATTTGTCGGAATATGATCGACATTTTGAATTGAAAATAATTTAATTCTGAAGTGATGGAATAACAATAAATTCCGCGTGTTAACTTTCACGAAAAGATTGAAACTTGCGTTATCATTGACCTTGAAGCTCCAGAAGAGATTTGAGTGCAATATCTAGTCGGAAAGTGGTCAAAGTTTTAATATCAAAAACAAATTTTCTCAGTGCGTTACTAATCATTAAAAAGAGCTGAATGAACTTATCTCTTTTCAAAAAAAGTGAAAATAAAATTGATTCTGACTAGTTGCGATCTAATTTAATTCAAACCTATCGAAAATTCGAATTTGAAAAAATAAATAAATAAGCCAACTCTTGAACTGCAACTGAAAACTTAAATTTTTTTTTCTCCTTATTTAGATCTTTTTTTTTTTCTTTTCTTTTTTAAGGAGCGGTTGGTTTATTCCCTTTTTTCACAGCATTTTGTCACTGAGCAAATCGTTAATTAAAGCGGGTAATATTGAATTTTTTTTCCATTTAGCATTTTTTCCTTCGATGTTTCTGTTATTTAATGCAATTTTAAAATAATAACCACATTTTAAAAATGTAAGTAATTAAAATAAATGTATAACATAATTTTATATAAATTATCAATTATCACATTTTCATTTATTTATTTTACTTATTTTTATTTTTTTTCATTTTGTTATTTTTTTGAAAATTGCAACAAAAAAAAGCAAATGCGTAATGGTTTTGACTTGATTTCTTATTAAAACTAAGGATTTCTTATTAAACTAAGGAAATAAATTTATAATAATAGTTATGAATAACATTTTTAGACCAAACATCATATTCATAAATAAAAGAGCTAACATAAGTATTCATAATTCATAAGTTAAAGATAATATTCATAAGATAATATTCAGATTTCATTCATAAGTTAAAGATAATAAAGTGCAAATTAAATATTCTTACTGCTATAACAGAAGTTCGTAGCATGGTTGAATAAGTTGGATGTCTAAACTTTCCAAAATATATTGAAACTTCTAAAAGATTCTCAACTGAAATCGCTTACATTTTCAGTCAACAATGGTAATACTAAGTTTTAGTACTAATGTGACATTTTAAAGCAAATTAATGACGCATAAAATAAATATAAATTTCTAATTTAATACGTTCAACTTTATTAAAGTATTTAATCTTACAACAAAGTAAGAGGGAAAAAATCATTCTAGTTCTTCATTACATTTCACAAACAAGTGTGTCATAAAAATTTGCTTCACGTCTAAGATAAGAGAACGATTTATAACTATAGAATACAGACTTATTTTGATGCTATGAACCCCACAACGCATTTCATCAGTCAAAATTATCTTTTTAATCACATGAGTTTTGGATGGAAAGAAATATATGGCTGAATGTACTCTAAAGATGAGAAGTTACAAAAAATTGATAGCAACAAAATGTAACAGACCATAAGTGCATTTTTTTTTTTGTTAACTTAAAACAATTATTATAACCATTCAGAACAAATTATAATAGAAGCGTAAAAAATATGCATGTGCCACTTTAGTGATACGGAAGAGTGTTTAGAAACATATTAATTCACTCCTTAAAAATCAGATAACCTCTGATATTTACGTTTCTGAAACGGTTTGTGATGCTGTTGTTGTTGTTTCTAATGCGATTTGCCACACTAGCAAGCCTGCTTGGTGAAACCAAGCTAATTTAAGGCAGAGGGTGCGTTTCTTGTTTTTCAGTGGCGCCATTTATGGCCAAGAATTCATCTTCAGCCACACACACGTCACACCCGTTTATAGGGCGGACCTATTCATACATCCATTCATTCATCCACAGATCGTAATTATTGAACTGGATCAGAGAACGATCGATTTCCAATCCAGTACCCCCAGAGGTATTGATTTGTTATGGGAACATGGAGAACTTTGTGACTCGACAGATTTAACGTGCATCAGTCACCATTTACTACACGGGGAGTCTTCGGCCGGCGGGGTTCGAACCCACGAGCTCTCGGACATGGGCCCAGCGCCCTACCGACCGGGCTATTCCGGTCTGTTTGTGATGTTAAATGTCATAAGCTTGACAAGCGTTCGAGTGCTATAATTAATAATAATAATTGTCATAATAATAATGCTATAATTAATAATAATCATTGTCGAGTGCTATAATTAATAATTGTCATAAGCGTTCGAGTGCTATAATTATAGAAATATGGAGCTGCCATCTGCCTGTTACAAATCACATGAATATATTCTAAAAAAAAGGGCTAAAAAAATTAAGTAATAAAATATTGATTAAAGTTTGTTTCGCTTAAGTTCGTGATTTACTAATCAACGGTCAACTTAACGTCACCTTTACGCCACTTAACTTTTCTTACATTTGAGTCAGAGGCACCATGTGAAACAAAGTGGAAAATCTTTCCATTTTAATTAGTCAGATTTCTTTTCCAATTACTTTTTTGTTATCAATCAACAAATTTCAGAAATATCATACTTGAAATTGAACTGAAATATTTCAAAGGAATATTTGCAGGTATAGATTAATGCATCCAAAACAGGGTCTTTTCAAAATAGCGTCACACGGTTCCCAGCAGATCACCGAAGTCAAGCATCACTGGTTGCGGTCAGTGTGCGGGTGGGTGACCATTGATTTATTTAGT